AAGGAGAGCAATCGCAGTAGCATCATTTTACAGATGGGGAAACCGAGCCACAGTACCGTGAAGTGACTTGCCTGAGATTGGGTTCCTGAGTCCCAGTCAGAGGCACTAACCCGCCTTCTGACTTCACAGGGGAGGAAAGAGTTAATGTAATACTCTCCAGAACAAGCAGCCCTGCAGCCGCCTGTTGTGACATGCCGCTGATGAGCCCGTGGCAGGATTTGTTGCTTTATTAACAAGACAATTAAGGGGAAGTTTTCACGGTGCCAGCAGCCAGTATATTTATCGCTCAGGGCTGACCTTGGCGCTCTATTTTACTCCTCAGGAGCTGCTATTAAAAGTTTGGAGGAAGGCAGGGCAGAGGGGGAGTCTGGTGTTTGCGAATGTCTTGATTGTGCCAAGCTTGAGCCTTCAAAAATCATGTCAGGCATGGAAAAGAAAAAGACGATTGGATTAAAAATCAGATTTTATTGAAAATGAAAGCCAAGTTTCTGGCCTTTCAGGGTGGAGAGAGGAGCTTGAAAATGGCAGCCCAAAAGACAAACTCCCCCTGAAAGCAACAACCCCCTCCCTCAACCCTTTTTTTAAAAGTTGCTGTTTCATAATCCCATGCCTCCAGGAGCTGGGGCTTTGAGGAAAACACCAAATAGCTTGAGCCTTGTGATAAAAATCTCAAAAGTGAGTAACACTGTGTTAGGTGAGAAAAATTAAATATGAAGCAGTTATGCCAACGGAACCAAAGTCAGGCTAATAAAGGTTGCTGGGAAAGTCCCTGAACGAGATAAAAAGAATGAAAAAATACTTGTTTAAGTTGCAGGGAGTAAGAAAAAAGGGGAGGCCTGCATTCCTGCATTTTTGTACCAAATGTTCTGGGAACAGTTTGTTGAGATACAGGGGCACTGTTTTCCACTCCTTGTTTTTGTGTTATGTCTGTTCTTAACTCCTCATCTCCTGGTTGACACCCATACCGATAAGAAAGTTAGTGAAGCATTGCAATTTGCTAAAAGTTATCTACAATAAGGGCGTAGAAGTGCATGCATAATAGAGAAAGAGGATTTTAACTAACATAGGGGAGGGGTGGGCTGCTTTGTGAATAAATCTGTGATGTGACGGAACTGTCTATAAAAACTTATGAGTTTTACTTAGAGGCTGGCTGGTTCTCTTTGGAGACGGGCTGCTCTCTATTGTTGTGTGCGCTCTTCAATGAAGAGCTTTGTGTTCGGACCTTGCTGGTGTTGCCTGTCTCTCTCCGGTCAGACAACGAACCATGCTGTCTGGGGTTCGAGTCCTTGACAATTGTAATGTGTGTGTGTGTGTCTCTCATTCGCTCTGTTTGTGCATCTCTCTTTCTAAGTGTTTGTGTGCAAGAGTCTCTGGAGGGGAATGGGGTGTGTGTATGTGTGTTTGTGGGTGTGTGTGCGCAAGAGAGAGGCAGGGCTGGAGAAGGGGGTGTAAAGCTAGATAAATGTGGGGTTTAACTCACAACTAACAGGCCCTTCCCTGGCCTGATTCCAGGTTGTCCTTGGTCTGAGAGCGGAAGGAATGGATTTGTGTGTGAGCGCGCGACTGGGAGCCACTCCGGATTCACTCCCACGGTCCCTTGTTCCCACGCCGCTATCTTGTGCTGGTCTCTCCCAATAGCTCTCTCAGAAATGTTGATTCATGGAACTGGGAACATGCTTCAGGATTCGCCCCGTGCAGCCTCAGGCACTGGCAGGCGTCTCTGCAGGGAGAGCCAGAGAAACCCCCCCGGGCCGCTCCCGTTATGGCACATGGCACACGGCTGCCAGGGCCGGGCGGAAGTCCCGGAGACGGCCCATGGAGTCAGCAGTGCTGAGGCCCGGACGCAGGCCGGTGTTCTGCCGGCATCCTGGGATTGGCGAAGTCGCCTTTTGGGCCCTGTGCAGGCTCGGGGCGGGGCTGGGACCAGGCACCTGCACTGGGGCTGCTAAGGGGGCTTGTCCTGAAGGAGGCGGGAGGCTTTGTGGGGGCTGGCGGTGCCTGGGTTAGAAGTGGGGGGGGTGCCCCCTGATGCCCTCACCACTCTGTGTTGAGGTCACCCCGCACCCCTTGGCAAATGCGACTCCCTAGAAACAAGATGGGGCCAGCCGCATGTTGATTGCCGAGGGGGCAGAATATTCCTGAGCCAGCTCTGCCAGTGACCCCCTCGACCGCCCAGAGCAGGGTCGGGGAAGCAGTTTCAAAACCACACAGCAGGTAGGTTTGTTCTTCTCCCCTGCCCTGCCCCCAGGTTCTGATCAGCCCGTGACACGCACCCCTGGCTGGGACACGCTGCTGCTTCTCCCAGGAGGAGGAGGTTCAAGAGGTGGCTTTGAAATGGCAGCCTGAGCCCACAGCGAGCTCTCTGTAACTTGGCTGTGCCCCATCTCTGGCCTCTGGAGTCATCACGTAACAGTCAGCCCCTGGGCACTTGCAGCTTTGCTAAGCAGGAGCAAGACAGCTGGGCTGGGACCGGGAAAACTTGCATGTGTCACAGCTGGACCAGAGGCATCGCTGCTGGTGGCCCTAACGCCTGGCTGGCCAAGCAAAGCCCCATCACAGGGCTGGGCTGGGCCCCCTGGGAATCGACGGGCCTTTCCCAGCAGGCCCACGCTGCCCCATGGAGCCACAAAGCCATCGGCTAGGATGGTGCTGTCCGTCCGCGGACTGCTGCTCCCTGCCCCTCCCGCAGGCCCACAGAGCAGCCAGGCCCAGCCAGGGTTCAATGGTGGCTGCTGGGGTTTTGCCTGGTGGGGCTTTAGCCACCCGGCTATGCTGACCCCAGTGGACGTGGCAGATCTAAATCACTGCGGGAGGGGAAATGGGCTCTCTTCCTGCCTGTATCCTCCAGTGCAGGGGGTTGCAGGGAATGTTTGTGCTGAACTAAAGTGGGCTGGGCGGGGACACGGGGGCAAACCAGCTGCTTGTTTGATGAACATCCAGCCCCTTAGCCCACACTTCCCCACCCGCTTCCCTTCTTTCCTCCCTGGCTCTCCGATTCATTACCCTAAGCTATCACACAAAATCCAGCCTGGGACTCAGGGCTCAACCCTCATCTTTCAAACAAAGCGGGGGGGGTATCAGGGATGTGCCGGGGGGGAGCAGTAATCAGCCTCATTCTCTCACCAGGGCCACGTATGGGCCGCGGCCTTCCTCCAAACGTCACCAGCTACTGCCAGCTCAACAGATTCATCCCTGTGGCAGGGTGAGGGTCAGGCACATGCACCTTCCCAAGTCAAGCTGTGAGGGGCCAGTTTGTCCCCAGCCCAGGCTAAGGGAGTGCCGAGGGGGCCCCCATTGCAATGGCCATAGCATTAGCCAATGGGCTCTCTGGGCCATAGCCGGGAAGAAGGTCTGCCTCCACCTTATCACCAGCCCCAGCCCTCCTTCACCACCCCTGCTCCAGAGTACCCTGCCTATGTCTCCTACAGCTGGATCTCTTTTAGAGCTGGCTTTGCTCCTGGCAGGTAGTATTCCTGCCCTGGGGTACTCCCTCAGGACAGCTCAGGCCTGGCGTGCAGCTCCCTTGTGCCATCATGAAGCTGGCTGTGGGACCGTAGGGACACTTAAGCTGATCCTCTGCATGCGTCTGAGCAGCCAGCGCTGCAGATTAATGCATTGCCAGTGTACAGGCTTTAAGGGCGGTTTGTTCACAGGGAGCGTGGGGAATGAATTATGCAGCTGAACTGGCTCACCTGCAGATGCAAAGCAGATGAGTTCTGCAGGGATGCTTTCCCTCCTACTTACATTTCTGGGTGAATGGAGTAGGAGTGCACCAGGCACAACCCAGGCAGAAAAGGTACAGATTCTGCACACCTCCACCGTTCTGCCAAGGTGTCTCCGTCCTGACCTGCAGCCACGCGAGTCAAGCTCACTGACCCCTGTGAACATGGGGGTTTGAGCCACCAACTAGAGCAGGAGGTGGCCACCAGGGCTGTTTTAGGGGCATATCCTGGCCTCTTGCTCCAGTAGGTTTGAATCCAGCACCACAGACGTGAAAGGCTGAAGCACTAATGCTTTGTGCTGTCTAAAATCTGCAAAGGGCCCATACAACCAGACTGCCAAACAGCGTGACAGGCTCCTTTCTAATGAGGACAAGCAAGGCCAGGCGCCAAGCCGATAAAGCACTAATTGGCAACGGTTGGCATTTATCAGTTCATGCCAACCTGGGGCCCACAGTTTATTTCTGAATGCCATGCCCCCTCTTTCCACACTCCCGCATTCAGGCCGCTCAACTCAGACAAGCTTAGTGCCCTAAGCAGGGACATCGCACTCGGCCTGGCTGGCTGGCACGAATGTGGAGTGGTAACCCACCCTGTGTGTCTGTGGTACCTTCTTTCAAAGCACTAGTCAGACATTAGTGGCTTTTGCCACACAGCATCCCCATGAAGAGGTGGGGGGACAAACACCATTCACCTCGTTTTACAGCTGAGGAAACTGAGTCACAGAGACTGAGTTGGCCAAAGTTACACTGAGTCAGTGGCAACATCAAGAACAGAGCCCCTCCCTCCTGCCCCCCAGCAGTAATCAATACAAGGACAAACCTGTCCATCTGACTCATGTCACACTTGCATTGTAAATTCCATGGGGCAGGACTCATCTTTTAAGTCTGTGTTTGTATAGCACCTGATCCAGGACTGGTGCTCTTAGGCCACACAATAAGACAGCTAATCTTCACCATCAGCAACATATCTCCATCTCCTGCCATTGCAGGGGCCTTGGGGCCTGGTGGCCCTCGGTCCCTCCTGTTCTCTGCCCGTGGCACACAATGGTTTAGTCTCCTTAGGGCTGTAAGTACTTTAATCTAATCCATTGGGCTCAGTGTAGGAATAGCTGGGGATGGAGGGGTGGTTGGTGGCCCGGAAGAAGCAAGACATCAGACTAGATGAGCAGGTAATCTTGTCTGAGCATAGCCTCTCTGCCTCAGTGTTTTGCCTCTTGAAGAGGAAAGATGGCCCTGGTCCGTTGGCTCTCTTGAAAAGTGAAATGACTGACACAGGCTGTAGGATGACACAAAATTGTATTTGCTGAACATTGCCAAGAAACAAACAGGACAAAGTCGTCTAGTACATGTCACTGGCACCGGGAGTCACAGCTCTGAATACAGTGGGAATTATTCAGGTTTGTATGACAAAAATAAAAATTGGAAAAAAAAAAAAAAACCACCCAAAAAAACCAAACATCGCTCAGGTCACCATGGTTAAACTCAGAGACTGACTGACCAGATGGAAACAAGTTTGCCAGCACAGCATCAAAGCCATTGCAAAGGACTCAGTTAAAGAGAAGCCGAATGAAACCAAGGGCTGCATGTGGCAGGCCTCAAGTATTGGCCGCCTAACTGAAGCACGGACTAGGAAACAGGGTTAGCAGCATGTGCTAGAAAAACAGGTGAAAGACTTCTAGCCAGCAGACAAGTTAAAATACAAAGCCAATACAGAACAGTCTGAAAGCTGGAGTTTCCCCGTTTGATTGTTTAATAAGACTCCCCCGCTCACAATGAGAAATAATTTCTCAGCCATTGGGGTGTCCCTGCCCGTTCCCCACCCCCCACAAGCAGTAGAATATAGACTCAGACCTTTGAAAGGGTCAAATGCTACATTTAAAGGCTCTGAGCCACACACGGCATTTCCACTGGGCTTCCCCATTGTCAAAATCTGCCTCCCCGCTCCAGAGAATGTGGGGCGGTGTTGGCTACTCGGGAACGGTCTATGTTCCAAGAGGACTGACGGAGTGAGGCGTACTCACCCGCCCCCCCCATGTGTACAATACTCTATGGCAGGGGTTCTCAACCATTTTCTTTCTGAGGCCTCCCCAACATGCTATAAAAACTCCACGGCCTCTCTGTGCCACAGTAACGGGTTTTCAGCACATCCAGTAGATTGAAAGCCAGCGCCAGCGTTAGGGGGTAGCAAGCAGGGCAACTGCCTGGGGCCCCAAGCCTAGGGGGTCCCACCAAACTAAATTCCTCAGGCTTTGGCTTCAGACCCGGGCAGCAGGGCTCGGACTTCAGCTTTTTGCCTTGGGCCTCCGCTAGTCTAACACCGGCCTTGCTCTCTGGTCTATTTTGGTGGCCCCCTGAAGCCTGCTTGTGGCCCCCCAGGGGACCCCGGACCACTGGTTGAGAACCTCTGTTCTCTGGGATGTGTGGCCTGCAGTACAAGAAAGGGCCTCCCCCAGCCAGCCCTAATAAGCAATAGCTTGCTGTTTCTCTGGCCTGTCTAATCTGATTGCATTGCATCTTGCCCCGCTACATGAGAGGAGCTCAGGTGTCTTCTAGTTTCACACTCCAGGCTGACGGGAAGGTGCATGGGAGCAACTGGGAAAAGAAGCGCCTCCCCCCCATGGCTGGCACCGGTCTGTAATTCCCTAGGCCTGAGCAGAGTCAGGGGCCCCTCTTGCATTCCTGCCCCATTCTGTGCAGCAAATGCAGCTGCTCCCTGGGCTAGCCCGGAAAGGCCTGGGATTTTAGCCGCCGCTGTAGCTACCCCGGTGCACAGACCCCTCCTGCTGATAGGGTGCAGCCCTGTGAACTGTGACTCAGCTGACCTGCTGCTGCCTGGCTGCGTTTGCACCGACGTGGCCCCATTGGTGGCTACAAACCCCCGTGCAGACAAGCCAGAAGGGGCCAAGTGCAACTTTCTGCCTCCGCTAGGTGGGATCCTTAGTTACTCCCCAGCATCGACTAGGCTGCGACCAGCACTAAACAGTGTGTGACTCTGGCAGTGGGCCCTTCTGTGCATGAGAGGCCTTTGCACTGGGGGAAAGCATGTACAACCCTGCTGCGTTCCCAGCTGCACTGCAGGGGACCATGGGTGGCTTCCTCCACTCTTCTCCATTCCTTTGCTCCAATGCCTGGTCACGCCTGGAGGGGAGCCATTCATAACACAGAAAGGGAGGGGAACTTTACATCCAATGGGCCAAATCTGTCCCCAGTGTCGCTCCAGTGATGCCTAGGAAATGGGTCAATGCGGACTATGGCCTGCAGGACCCAGCTCAGCTAAGTACTTAAGCAAGTGCCTAAGATTCATTTGACTTATAGGGGACTTAAGCCTGTGCTTCATCGCTTTGACTCTGGCATAATTCACAAGGGGGTGCCTCGCACCTGCCATTGCCCGGATGAGAGATGCGGGTGCTCAGGAGCTCTCAGGCTCCCGTTGCGATAAGCAAGCGATTGCAGAGGCGGCTGGCAGGCTGCTCAATGGAGCTCAGCGCCTAATGGGCTCTGCAGCAAGGACTGGGGTTTGGCCGTGGCTGTTGTGGAAGGGATGAGCCGCCGTAACCACCCACCCCAGGCTTTGTGTTAAAAGCTGGAGCGTGTGAGGCCCCAATGCTGCGCGTCCTGCCTGCAAGGTGCTGACAGGCCGAGGCCTCCCCTGACGGCAGGAGGAGCGGAGCATGTTGTAAAAGACGCCTGGGCACCTTCTAGGATGGATGGTTGCGTGCCTAAAATATCCAGGTTAGTGCCTCAGAGGGGTGACCGCTGGTTTGCAAAGAAAAGAGAGCGCGCTCCAGTGGGTGCGATGCCCCTGAGCACCAAGCGGAGGAAAGGCTCTGAACACACTGCCCTGCGCAAGAGACTACAGCACTGTTATTATTCTCAGGCATCTTCACAGCGATTCACCCTGCCCCTCCTTAGCCCTGAGCAGGGCGACCTGTTCCCGAGACCGAGGCCACCACCACACCAACCTGAAATGACTGAAGGATGATCTAGGCCTCTCCCACCTCCCTCGCTTTCCCCTCAGATTTGAGCCTTTATCATTCAAGTGGATGTTCTGAAACTAAACCCACCCTATAAACTGATACTGCACAGGACAACAGACACTCGAGCCCTGACCCAAAGCTCCAGTCAATGGCCAGACGTCCCTTGACTTCCCCAGGCTTTGGCTTAGGCCCTTCGAGAACTGGGAGAGGAAAGAAAATCACCACTTACAGCCTGGGTAAAAGGCACTGCTCCGAATTGGAAAGCCAGGTTGAGTGATGGGTGCTTGGTTTCCACTAGGGAAAACTTCAGGGCAGACTGGCTCAGTGTGCTTGAAACCCTGGCTGCAGGAGCCTTTTCTCTTTGCTAGATGGCCTACCCAGTAAAGAAATGCACAGGGCATTTAGCCAAGAGAAAAAGCAGAGAGCACATAGGAGCCACAGCTGGTTATGGCTTGTCGCAGCATCCTACACGCTGAATGCCAGGTAATAAACTCAGATTGCTGACCCAGCTAAAGAGACAAGAAGAAAAAACAGGAGAACGATGCCTTATTTTGTCATCATCAAGTGTGTGACCGCTGCCCTCTGGGACAAAGGCAAGGTGGCTACACTCAAGTTGGAGGGGAACACACATAACTAGGACCAACTGCGGTTGGAAAGATAAGAGCTCCCTTCTAACCAATCCGACAAAACCACGTGGAGGTGGGGAGAGAAATGCTTTATTGTTGATTCAGTAAAACGCTCCAACCTCAGCTTCGCAGACAGCGAAATAGCAGCTTTTCTGGGGCCATCTGACATGTAGTCCCTAAAACGTTCCCATTCTAGCAGCCAGTGCATTGGGGGGGATTTATTGGCCCATGTTATACAGGGATCCATCCTAAGCCAGTGTGGACTGTGGGCTCTTTTCACCTGACAGGCTCAAATCTATCCAGATGTCTCTTCAGTAAAATAAATTGAGTGGCACCTGCTTACACCAGGGCTGATTTTGGCCCAGGGGCTTGAGGCCTGCCTGCTACAATACAAGCAGGAGCTTTTTGCACAGGAAGTTTACAATATAGGGGTCTAATCCTGGAGACCTCATGCCCTCAAGACTCCCACTGAGTTTGTGTATGTGCGAGCAATGCAGGATCCAGACCTATCTAGGAGGCATAGGGCCTAGGTCGTACACTCTGTTTGCTCCGAGCGGACTTCTTCAGGAGCAAATGGAGAGAGAGGGAGAGGCACTTTCCCCATTGAGTACCACTGGAACAGAATTCATCAGAGCTGAACGCTACATCCCCTTTTGTGCAGAGGTTCAGTTTCGCTTCAGCAGGGACAATACAGTACTGGACGGTTGCTTTGTTAGCCCCACACAATGAAAAGGCCTTAGCAGGATTTCTTTTGTAACAGCTGTCTGGTTCAAACACAGCAGATGACAAAAAAAACATACAATAAATTAGAAGTCCGCACAGCTTCCGAAGGTGCTAGTCACTAATAAAACGATTACTTAGGAGACAAACTATAGCTCTGGTACTTATAATCTTATCTTAAAAAAAAACACACACACCCATAATCCACAGGGTTCTGCATAAAAATAAGCACATTTAAGCCAAGAGCTTGCTGTTAACTAAGTTAACCCGCTTTTTTATATATATAGATCTCTCTCTATAATTTTTTCCCCATAACATTGTTCTTCGAAGGAGCAACTGGGTTTACAAAGACATAAAAATAGAGATTTTGAAAGGGCAGGGTGCTAGTTAAGATGCTCAAGGCACCTCTGATTAAAACAATGGGATAATATTCTACAGTGCTGGCTCCCAGTACTCCTGTGCTGGGAGCAGTTATTCTTGAGTAGTCTTGTGTTTTTGTAATGGGGGAGGAAAAAGATAAAAAGTATCAGTTGCAGCAAGTCCCCCCCACACCCAATCTCTCTCTCTCTCTCTCTCTCTCACACACACACACACACACACACACACACACGATAGCAAAATATGGAGAGAATCTGAGGACATGGACCAGATTCTGATCTCAGTTACACCGGTGTGAATCCAGAGTGACTCCATTGGCGTTAGTGTTCCTGACTTTACATCAGCATCACTGAGATAACTAGTGGACCATTAACTTTAATACATATACAGACACACGGACACACACTTGGGACCTACAAGAGGGGTTTTTTTTGCCCCAATAGCATACATGCAAGATCAGAAAAGAGGGGCTTTTTTTTGAAGGTTTAACTGTGCCAGAATTTTTTGCATACTCTGCTAAAGCCAGCTTATGTTAGGAAAAGTGTTATTTCATACAGCGTCCCAGTATGTAGGAGGTAGCTGCACCTATACCAACCCTGTCAAGGCAAAAAGGAGGAGGAGTTTGGGCCAGGGGGAAGATGGGTGACCTTAAAAAAAACAGAAGATCAGATCTGCTTGCCAGCTGCATCAGCATTCAAGTAGCATTTAAAGTACCTCCATGGGACTTTAGGATGGGGAATCTAATCTGTTGACTTTGAGAAGTGTAAGACCCACTTTGTTTTATTTTAAGCAAGCAGGCTGCAGGGCACTTTCAAATTCCCAGAACCGAACAGGAGCAAAGACTTGTAGGAAAGGTCGGTGCCAGTATCAGGACCGGGAGTACTGTCCCCACGTCGACGCTGTAATAGTCCCACGTCTTCGAACTCATCCCAATATAATAAAGTCATGCAGAAATTTTAAATAAGTATTCAAACAGTTCACTTTTCTCTGACTTCAACTTGTTCACCAGCACAGGATTGGAGGAAGCAGGTCTAATGATACTTCACATGCAGAATTCAAGAAAGGGGGGGGACAATAACCACACAATTGGAAACACAGAAAGCAGAGTTGTTTTCTCTGTAGTATGCCTCAGATATTCTGTCTCATTTCTTTTCCCCCCACCCTCTTCCTTAAAACTGCACTTTCTAAACAGCCAGATTTCAAGACCATCCCTGCCTACATGAATCTAAACTTTCCTGCTTTAACAGGCTTTTTCATTATTTCTTCACAACTAGTTTAAACAAATCCAAAGTTTCAGATTTTTTTTTTTCTTTTTAATTTGTCGTCAGTTTCCCAATTTTCCCTCAAGAACATTTCCCGGGGCGGCGTGTGCTGCTGCGATCGTCCAGCTCCAAGGTTTGGAGGAATTTTGGACCGAGCCTAGCTGCACACATTTCACTCCGAAATGTACTCTTCCTGATAACTTTTTGTGTTTGCTTTTAAATGTATAAAATCACAGTTCATGTTACATCTTCAAAGGAAGAAAACACCACACACACACACACACACCATATTGGTGAACACTGTACACTAAATATGTCTTTTCAACAGCATAACAGGACATTTGGCCTATCATAGGTCGTAACATGGGCAGTGCCTGAAACTTTAGGGATGCCACGCCAGCAACTTAGATCACAAAAGAGCTGAACCCAACCACCCATGGGACAGCTGGGCTCAGATCCTTAAAGGTATTTAGGATCTAACTTCAACTGATTTCAGTGACAGTTAGGAGCCTTTGAAGATCTAGGCCTTAGCTCTTTCCTTTTCGAGTATCAGGCTGAAATCCCCAAAATTCAGCCAACACAGCATTTACAGGTACCACACCAAGCCACTTCTGCATCAGCCTCGGAATTCAAATGCTGTCAAATCAAAGTGGGAAAGGGGCATTTGACCTGTCTTATTATTATGTATATATTTTAATAACACTTTTGAATTCATTTTACTGCTAAAACCTTGCTCTTTAAGAAGAATCCAACCTTTAAGTTGACACTATTTTGGGACTTATGTTCCTTTAAAATTCTCTTTTCTTTTGTTTTTAAAACACCTCCTGGAAAACTTGCTTTCTTCTGGCAGAAAAATCAGCTGGCAGCTCTGGGCTCTCACTGCACCCGCTCTGTGAAATTCTCCGGGAAAACCCCCCGACTTTGATCAAGTTCCTTATGCTGGAGCCAGTCAGCCTCTTTCACGCCCATCAGCCATCCTTCATCCTGGCAGAGAGAGAGAAAGAGATCCATCAGAGACCAAGGGCCAGATTATTTTTTATGCAGTGCAGGTTGGGGGACATCAGAAAAGGAGTGGGTGAAACGGATAAGCAAAGTGATGCTCCGAGCTAGCTCACAGGGAGCAGAAAGCACCCTAGAAACAAAGCAAGGTGGGCAAAGGAGCTTTTCATTTTTGCAGTGAAGAACATCTCCCACTGGAGGCAATGGCAAAGCTGCCACCCACTGCACAAGCAGGACATGGTGATTATGGTATATGCAAGGCCTGAGCTTGCTCTCATTTATGCTACCTGTCAGTCAGGATGCCCACTGAAGTCAGATCAGAACCTGGCCCATGGGTAAAGGGGGCTAGCAGGCCCCTGGGGTGCGATGGGATCCAGTGTACGTCTTTACATCGAGACGGGGGGGGTCTTCCTAAATGATGCACTTTAGCTGGACCACGAGTTATTGGGATTGGTGTAGGAATTGCTGCATAGAATTCCCTGGCCCATGTCATGCAGGAGGTCAGCCTGAATGGTCCCTTCTGGTCTTAAAACCTATGGATAACCTACAACTCAGGGGAACTGCGTAGCCACCAGCGTACAGCCCCCGCCTCTGGGTGTTTTGTCCTCTGCCGAGGTCATTCAGCAAGGAGGTTCCCTGCAGATTGGGAGCATGTCTGGAGTAAGAGGTTTCAGGGGAGGAGGCTGCTTCATGTCCTGGCCCCACGGACAGTGCACACAGGGAGGACTGTTTACTACGACAGCTGCACACGTTGTTCTTTGCCCTGCGTCCACCTCTTTGGGTGAGGCATCCACCTTGGCCCTCAGCTCATTTATATGCATCCTGTCAGGCGAAGCTGGGGTGGGTAAAATACAGCCCGTGGGCCGGATCCAGCCCGTCTAACATTTCTGTGAAGCCTGCCATGACTAACGTTTCTGTCTGACCTCCACTGCCTGCTCGTGATCTCCGGGCCACTAGAAGTCCCATGGTGCAGTGGGGCGCTCAGGCAGGCTGCTTGCCCGCCATGGCCCCATGCTACTCCCGGAAGCGGCTGGCTGCTGCTGGCACAGCTCTGTGTGCCCCTGGCGGGGCGGGAGTGCCGCGTGTTGCCCTCGCCCCCAGCACTGTCCCCACAGCTCCCACTGGCCAGAAACCAGCCAATTGGAGGAGCTACGGGGGCGGTGCTTCCGGGTGCAGGCAGCGCATGGAGACCCACTGACCCCCTCACCCCAAGGGATGCACAGAGACGAGTCAGCAGCAGCTGGCCACAGCCGCTTCTGGGAGCAGCGTGGGGCCACGGCATGCAGGCAGCCGGCCCGAGCCCTGCAGTGCCGCCGGCCGGGAGCCGCCTGTGGCTAAGCATCTCCCGGCCAGTGCCTGCACCTCTCACGGCCTCCCGCACCCCAACCCCCTCCCCCAGGTCAGAACCCCCTCCTCCACCCAAACTCCCTCCCAGACCCTGTACCCCCTCCTGCACCCCAATCTGGACCCCCCCCATCCAAACTCCCTCCCAGAGCCCACACCCCTCACCTTCTCCTGCACCCCAACACTCTGCACCAGCCCAGAGCTCCCTCCTGTATCCAAACTCCCTCCCAGACCCTGCACCCCCTCTATTAATAGAGTAGAAATGTGCGGCCTGTGACGACATACCAAAATTCATGGAGCGTCCCCCCTGCGAAAATAATTGCCCACCCCTGGGCTAAGCTAACTAAGCAGCTAGGACAGAATGGCCAGCTACCAGCCGTCCCAGCCAGTGGAGGTGGTGAATTCAGATGGTTTCCTCATGACTTTGCCTTACTGGAGCTGGCAGGAGTCACCTGAGGACAACCAAGGCAGCTACATAAAAAAAAATCCACACAAGAGAGCTGCCCCGACAGCAACCCCCCACCCCATCCACTGCACAGCCTGGTATCCAGAAGCAGGGCACATGCGGCTTTCTCCTTCAGGTTTTTACCCTTTTGCTTTCTTGTCCTGCTCTCTGAATGTTTTATATTGCAGCCACTGCTGGAATAAAAAGCCCAGCGTCCTCAGGCTGGCAGCCCCCCGCTGACAGTGCCGATACTGCAGGCTGATTTACCCCTGGCCGCTTCCTAACAAGTCTTGGCCTCGCAGGCGTCACAGAAACCATACACGGCACAAACCCACGTGCCCAATTCGGCGGAGCCGCGGACTGAAGGTTGGAGGGTCTGTGATTGATTTTATTGCTTCAATGTGCCATAACTTAGGCAGACAAATGGCTAGGTGGGAGGCAGCAAGCCCGGGGGTCCTTACTGCAATGCCCAATGAGACAAGCACTACGTACCATCCGGCCGCTGGTCTGCATCTGTGATGCACAGAGGTACAAGCTGCACATCTCCCACCTCTCTACTGCACCCAATTACACGGGGTAGGGTCCCTCGGTCTAGGCGCTGCAGACATGGCATTTGCTCCCAGTTTGCTGCACTCAGGGCTGACACCTGAGCTGCTGGATTTGAGCACTGCAGATGGTTATACACAATTAAATACACTAATTGCCTGGTTTTCCAAGCGCTCTCCTCTCATATGCACCATGCGTGCTCTTTGATAGGCATGTTTTACAGGTCCAGGCCTTGCCAGAGACAAGCTGGAGCAGAGGATGATCTGGGAGCTATTGTTAGTAGGCTGCAACCCTCAGAGCACAGCTGGCGGCAGCTTGGATGATCGCGGCACCGTGGCGCTCAGAGCTGCATCCAGCTCAAGCGCACGTATAGGTTGTAGACAAACTCTGCTCCATAAGCGCCCTTTCCTGCCACCGAAGCTAGAAGGGAATCTCCAGATAGCTCTCCATAGGATCAGGGTTTTTTTATTCTGGAAGCTGCTAGAGGGGACAATCCCTAGGCAGGTAAGTCCCAGCCAGAAGAGGATACCATAGCCAGCAGAAATGGCTAGTTTCTCCCCATTCAGCTCCTCCCAAGACTCTCTCACACTGCAGGGAGCAGCTGTACATCTCCAAGTGCTTTACAGACAGGTGCATATGCAGCGTTCTGCCCATTTTCCCGGTGGTAACACAGCAAGGTAACACAGCAAGCCAATGGCAGAACTGGGACTAGAACCCCCCCTCTTCTGCCTTCCAGTTTGTGCCCTGCTGACCCACTGCACCACGCTGCCTGCCTGCCATTAGAAAGGTATTCAAAGGGCCAGCTTTATCCCTGCCTGAATCCAGACCTCCATGGGGGAAATCCAGCCCCATGGCTTTGTTCTAAAGAGCAGGGAATTCTCCTACCCGAGGGGCAGGGAGGTTAGATCTGTGTTTTCTTAGCACCTGCCCGCCTCTGCTGTTAATAGAACAACTGCAGCATCCCTAAACTGGAAGTCCTGAATCTCAGCACAGCCCAGAGGATTTCCTCAACGCTTTTACAGAGGGCTCATAATAAACAAACAAAGTCAGTCCCAACTCATTCACCTCTGGCTTGTATCTGGGAGAGTCTAAACCTCTCCCGGGGAGAGTCAGGCAAGATCACCACAAGGGTCCCATCTGGATTTAGAATCTATGGCTTGGATTCTACAGCCGAAGGATGACTGTTTTGTTCTAGTCCTTAGACTATACTGCCGTCTACTGGGCAATGACATTACAGCAATACCAAAAAGTCCCTGAGAGTGTAAACTGGCTCAGCTTCACTGACATCACAGACCTGATCCACAGCGTGTTGCCCTCTTAGGGTACGTCTACATTGTAGCTGGAAGGGATTCCCATCCCAGGTAGGATTTCACCCTTCAGGTGTACCTACACTGTAGCTGGGAGGTGTGATACCACGTATACACGCTCGCTTTGATGGAGTTCGTGCACTAAACTTAGCGACATAGCCCTGGGCGCCATACCGTCCGGGCTCCTCGGTTCATACTCTGTTGGCTGGCACATCCCTCCCCGCATTCCCTCATGACCACCCTGGTCCATTTAGCAAGCTAGCTACATGATTCCCTGTAAGCAGAGGATCCATATACCCGGGTTTGCGGCCTGCGATTCTTAGCATGCTAGAAGCTGGGATGCTCATCAGGATTGGGAGCAGGAAGAAGATGAAGGTCATCCTTGCATTAGCCAAGTAATGACCCCTGCTGGCTGACCAAGGAGCAGCACTGACAGGTGCCAACCTGAGGCCTGACCAGCTGCTCTGCTGGCAGGAGGAAGCCCTAGGTAGTTACAGGAAAGAGGAGAGGGATATTTTTTGTAAAACCCCACCCACACTTTCCATGCCTTTAGCCAGGCAGATGTCTCTGCAGGACCCTCTCTCTTGGAGAAAACCCACCCTAGTTCCTGGACAGGCCAGCTCTCCAGCCAGCTGCAAGCAACAGACCCCAGCCAGTAAGGGGAGGAGAAGCGATCAGTCCCGTCCCCACCCCGCCTTCTCCCTCCCCCTCACCTGCTCATCTGGGTTGTCGAACGGAATCACCAGCACCACGTCCCCAGCCTTCAGCGGCAGCTCGTCACTGTCCGTGGCCACATAGTCATGCATGGCCTGAACCTACGAGAGACGAGGACTCAGATGAGCACCCACCCAGCTCTCCAAGGCAGGACGAGGCAGGCGGAACCTTGTGCAGGATTTTCAGATCTTTGTGATTCCAGTTTCTTCGGGCCAGTTTTATCCAAGCCATTTCAGCCCAGATCCTCAAAGTAATTGAGGTGCCCAACCCACATTGATTTCAAAGGGAGTTAGGCACTACGTCCATTAGAGAAACTGAGGATCTGGGCCTTTGTCCCTCCCATCTCTATCACTTACAGGCAGTCAGACACTCTGCCTCCCCGGAAATGAATTGCTCAGACCCAGCTGCTCTGCTGTAGACCGGCTTCTGCTTCTAGACCCAGGCTGAGTTTGCTGTTTAAGGCAAACGAGTGATTGGGCCCAGGGAGTCAGGGCACTGGCATCCACAACAGCTGTTCTTACCTAGGGTGACCGTACGTCCCATTTTGGCCAGGACGGTCCCTTTTTTAAGCCCTGTCCCCGACATCCCGACTTTCTTGACGAAAGAGGGCATGTGTCCTGCTTGTTCTTGCCAACTGATCAAGTTGGCAAGAGCACATGGGATAAAATGACCACTTTTGTCAAAAAAGTGGAGTGCAGTGGGGAGGAACGTGGGGGGGGGGGGAAGTGGAGACGCCAGCCCCATGGGGCGGGGGGGAAGGGTTCCAGTGCATGGGGGGCCGGCGGGGTTCCAGCAACCAGTGGCGGGGGGCGGCAGGGCAGGGTTCCAGTGACAGCCTAGTGTGGGAGGCCCAGCAGGGTTCGAGTGACAAGTGAGTAGTGACAGCCTCCAGTGCGGGGCCAGCAGGGCTCAAGTGACCAGTGACAGCTGGGGGGAGTGCCTTGGGCGAGCAGCTGGGGCCAGCCCCATGGGGTGTGGGGAGGCCTTGGGCCAGCCCCACACACAGTGTCCCATTTTCCCTTGGGAAATATAGTCACCCTATTCTTACCTCCAAAGGGCATGGATCCTCCTTAAAAAGAGAGGCTGTGAGTTTCTGACACCCGCCTTAGCCTAGGGCACAAAGTGCCTGCAGGTCAGAAGTCACCCCACAGTTTGGGGCTCTGACAGCTTTGACTCGAGCTGGGCTGGGTGGACTTCAGTTTGGGGCTGAACCAGATCCCAGAACCCTCAAACTCGGGAGCAGCTGCGATCTGGGGCCTTATTTCCCTGCTCACTCTTCTCACGCCTCTTTATGGGACGATCCCCAAGCCCCCAGATCTGACTGACCCAAGAAATCTGGGGTGTTGGAAACGCAGCTCTGAATTTTCAGGCCTGACTGTGGTTTATCTGCCTGAGTTCTGCCTTTAACAGTGCCCTGTCTCGCCTCTCCAGATGGCAAGTGGCACCCAGTCAGGAGGATCAATTGGCGTAGCCAGACCACTGCTGCAACGTCTCTCCCACCTGCAGAGCTCCATCAGGCTCCGCCTGCAGGGATTAGAGCTTTCCCTGTCCCCTACCCCTGGGATGGGGAGAGGCGGACATGACTCCAACCTGCCCCCTGCAGAACAAAAGCCTGGAGGGGCCAAAGAGCCTGCCCCCTGCACTGGCTGCAATGAACCTGGCGTGGTGTCTAAGGGAACCCACATCATTGGTGGCTTTCCACTGTCCCCGGCAGCCCCATAGCCACTGGTGTGGCAGCACTGAGTGTAACACCTCCCTGCGACCCTTGTGCAGGAGAGATCAGCCCCCGCCCCACCCGTGCTTACCTTAAACAGGAAGCCCGGGGGCATGTCGGCCCTTTCGGAGGGGGCGCTGCCCTCCTCGGTGCCATTGACGGTGGCTGGGAACGTCTCCACGACGACAGCAGGCAGGGAACTCTGGGGGGGGGTGGGGGGCAGACGGGGAAGAGAAGGGGAGAAAGGGAACAAAGCAGCACTGAGAAAGGAGTGTCCGAACCACTCCCCCGCCGCAGGGACCCCCTAAATTCAGCCACAACCTGCCCCAGATCCCAAACGCCTTGATTGCCAGTGGGGTTTCCAAGCACTCAGGTCAGCTTATAGCCCTGCCTGGAGTGAACGGGAAAGCAGAGAAGGCGGCAGATAACTATTGAGGGATCTGGGCTTGTAAGGAACTGTATTATCTGTGACCTTAGGCTGGGCGATGAAGGTGGTTTGACTACTTTTTTGGGGGACAATATGGATGTTTTTGCATTCTCTGGAGAACGTCGTACCTGCCCTGTGATATTGAACGTTTAGGGAGCCCCATCACGCTCACAACAGCGAAATACACACGCAGCGGTGTCATGCTGCTGGGACATTTGTTTTCTCACTCCTTGCAGTGCTCCTGTGGAGCAGGCCAGTGGCACAATGCCCTTCTTACAGGCTGGGAAATGGAGGCAGTGAGGTGAGGTCAGAGCAAGAGTTAGAGGTTAGGGGATTTGGGGGGAAATATGGAGGTCAGTGGCTGTGAAGCAAAAAAGGTAGGTAGGGGACAGCAGTCCCCACCCCAAACCAACTTATCACAACTCCCACTGGCTTGGCTTTTGGGGCATGGGAGAGTTAGGGGGCTGAGGGAGAAGGAAGGTTCCTCATCTGCTCCCGAAGGCCTTGGCCTGAGCGTGCAAGACAAATCCAGTGCACGTCTGGCCTGTGAACAGGGACACAACATGAGCAGGCCAGCCGCACAAGCAGCTTCCATGTCCGATCATTTCTACAAAGGAGGCCCGGTCCGTTTCACAGCCCTCTTTCCATCATAGCTGCCCCTGCAAATCAAGAGCGGGGTGGGAAGGACGGGACCCCCACCTTCCCTACGTTCTTACAGGAGCAGATCCTGAGTCAGTTTCCATTTTAGGTGCTTCAGCTCCAGCTGTGGCTTCTGTCCCAGCTGCTTCAGCGCTAGCAGGAGGTGCTTCCGTCCCAGCTGGCTCGGCACTGGCAGGAGCGGTTTCTGCTGGCTGCAACAGAGGCATCCGGAGAGAGAGTTACACTCATTAGAGAGAGCGGGAGAGAGCGTGTGTGAGAGAGAGAGCGCGCGCGCGCACGGAAAGGAGATCAATTTAAAGACTACGCTCTCCAGGCAGATATCACAGGTCAAGGAGATCTACGCTGTCCACTGCTGCCATCTCCTGGCAATTAGGAAAATGATTCTTGCTCATATGCTTTCCTGACTCTCCAGTCTAGCTAGCCTGTAGTTCCCACTCCATCCAGTGTCAGGCAAAGCTCCGAGCAAAATTAATGTGTTTTTACTTGAGTACAGAATGAACTATTTGACTGCATGCAGCCAAAGGAAAGGAGACAACCACGGGCAGGTACACCCAGCTGACCTGAAACTTTCATTTGCTGGGACAAATACTGTTCTCAGTTACTCCAGTAAAGGAGTTACATTGTAGTCACTGGGGCTACCCCAATTCACCCAGGTGTAACCAGGAGCAAACTCTGATCCACTCTCTATATAAAACAGGTACAGATCTGTATGGAATTATAACTGAATTGTGGAAGTAAATGCGTTGCATCAGCAAGAGGGCTTTGGCTTTTTCGACAACCAGCTGATGTTCCAGGAAGGAGAATTACTGTGCTGGGATGGGCTCCCTCTAGCAAATACTGAGAAGAGCATCTCTGGACATTGTCTGGCTAACCTGATAAGGAGAGCTGTAAACTAGATCTTACAGGTGAGGGTGACAAAAATCCAGCCAATGCACACGTAGGCTCAAGTAATGAAGACAAGGGAAAGGGGCAAATTTCTGGAGAAGGGTCTAGAAATCAGAACTGCATTAAAAAGGCAAGAGGACAGTCTGCAAAATACCTTCCAGGCCTGTACATGAATGCAGGGAGTTTGGGGAAGAAGCAGGATGAACTGAAGTCATGGTGTATGAAGAAAATGACGACTTAATTGGCATTACAGAAAGTCGGTGGGATAACTACCATGATTGCAGTACCAGCATGAAGAGATATAGCTTGTTCCAGAGGGATAGGTACGGGGGGAAAACCAGGAGCTATTGCACTGTATGTCAAGAATGTATCCACTTGCTCAGAGGTCCACAGAGAAGTGAGCAGACCTACTGAGAGTCTCTGGGTGATGATAAAAAAGGAAAAGATCAGTACCAGTGTTATGGTATGATTCTATTATAGACCACCAAATCAGGAAGAGGAGGAGAAGTGGATGAGTCATTCTGTAAGCAATTAACAAGATTAGCTAACACACCTGAGCTAGTATTAATGGGGGCTTTTAACTTCCCTGATATCTGTTGGAAGACTAATGCAGCAAAACATAATATTGTCCCGCAAGTTCTGTGCAGGGGACAACTTTCTGATTTAGAAAGTTGAAGAAACAATTAGGGGGTCGTCCATTTTGGATCTGGTTTTGACCGACAGGGATGAATTAGTTATGAACGTGAAGATGGTTGGGAACTTGGGAGAAAGCGATCATGCTCTGATAGAATTCAAGTTCCTAATGAAAGGAGGACATGAGAACAGCAAAATAAGGACAAAGGATTTCAGAAAAATGGATCTCAAATGACTCAGAAATAGCAGGCAAGATCCCATGGAAAGACAAATTAGAAGAAAGAAAAAGGAGAAAGAAGAAAAAAGAAGGAGAAAGAAAAAAGAAGAAAAAGAAAAGGAGTCAAAGGGAGCTGGAGGTGAGCTGGTAACGGAAGAGGATAGGAAGGCAGAGCTGCTCAATGCCTACTTTGCTTCAGTCTTCTCACTACAAAACAACATGTGACCAGATGACTAGCGAACTTACCATCGACAATAAAGGGGAATGCAGTTTGGGATAAGTAAAGAACATGTCATAGATATTCTGACCAATCTGAATGAATTCAAATTAACAGGACCTGATGCTATTCACCCCACAGTGCTGAAGGAATTAGCTGAAGAAATCTCAGAGCCACTGGCAATAATATTTGCAAACTTATGGATGACAGGAGAGGTCCTGGAAGACTGCAGAAGGGCTAACATAGTGCCCATCTTTTTAAAAGGGGAAAAAGGAAGAGCCAGGAAACTATAGACCAGTCAGCCTGGCTTCAATACCTGGGAAGCTACTAGAGCAATGTATAAAACATTCAACTGCAAATACCTGGAGGACAAAGGGGGGGGGGGGAGGGGAAATCAGTAGCAGCCAGCATGCATTTACTAGACCAAATCATGCCAAACCAGCCTGATTTCCTTCTTTGACGGGGTAACTGGTTTGCAGATAGGGGGAATGTGGTGGACATAATATACCTGGACTTCAACAAGGCTTTTGACACCATCCCACATGACATTCTGATAAATAAGCTGGAGAAATGTAGGCTTGTTGGAACTACCATTAAGTGGACACATAATTTGTTAAACAACCGTAAACAAAGAGTAACTATGAATGGAATTATGTCAGATTGGCAGAAAGTCTCAAGTGAGGTACCACAGGGATCTGTTCTGGGTCTGGTATTGATTAACGTCGATATTAATGACGTGGATGTAGGCTTAGGGAGCATACTGATCATATCTGCAGATGACACAAAGCGAGGTGGGCTTGCAAACACATTGGATGATAGAGCTAAAATTCAAAGGGCTCTTGATACATTGGAGAACTGGGCTATAGACAATAAAATGAAATTCAACAAAGTCCAATGTCAGGTGCTACACTTTGGGAAGAAAACCCAAATGCACAAATACAGAACAGGGGATATCTGGCTGGGCAGCAGCAGTGCTGAGAAGGATCTGGGAGTTGTGGTGGATCACAACCTCAACATGAGTCAGCAATGCGATGCTGTTGCAGGGGGGAAAAAAAGGCAAATGCAATTTTAGGTTGCATTAACAGAGGCATGGCACGCAAGTCACGGGAGGTGATAGAACTACTCTACTCAGCACTGGTTAGGCCACAGCTGGAGTACTGTGTCCAATGTATAGAAAGGATGTGGAGAAACTGGAAAGGATCCAGAGGCGAGCGACAAACAAGATCACAGGGATGGAATGCACGCCATAGGAGCAAAGGCTGAAGGAACTGGGTATGTTTAGTTTGGAAAAGAGAAGATTAAGGGGGGGGAAAACATGATTATGGTCTTCAAAATACTTGAAATTCTGCCATAAGAAAGAGGGAGAAAAATTGTTCTCTCCTGCCACAGAAGGTAGGACAAGAGGCAATGGGATCAAACTACAGCATAGCAGATTTAGATTAAATCTCAGGAAAAATTTCCTAGCTGTAAGAAGAGTAGGACAATGGAACAGACTGGCTAAGGAAGTCATGGAAGCTTCTTCACTGGAGGTTTTCAAAAAGAGGCTGGATAGCCATCAGTCTTGTATGGTTTAGACACAAGAAATCCTGCATCCTGGCCAGGGGTTAGACGAGATGACCCTTGTGGTCCCTTCTAACCTTATGGTTCTATGATTCTAGGGCTTGGATTGAGGAGTATGAGCCAGATGCTCAGCTGGTGTAAATCACTGTCACCACATCAGCGTCCATGGAGCTATGTTGATTTCCACCAGCTGAGGACTTGGCCCATCTAGTACAAGATGCAGAAATGGGAATCTGTTAACCTGCCAGACAGAGTAGGAATGAAAAAAAATTGTCAGTGATATGACCCGGATTCCTATTTGGTTTTCAGCCCGTCCAATAATAGGGGTCATCTGCAAATGTTTGGCTTGATTTTAATTCTGATAGGAACTTTCCTAAGGGCAAAAATCCCCTAACAGACAATTTCTAGGGATCAATATTACTTGGAATATTTAATTTTTGTGTAACCCTGAAATGGCAGGTGGGGATGAGGTGGTCAGATAGAGAAGTAGTAATTGGTTTAACTATCCTTAGACTTAGACAGTTTTTCCTAATACCTACCCTAAATCTCCCTTGCTGCGGGTTAATTACAGGGACAGGTTACCTAAGGAGGTTGCGGAATCCCTGTCATTGGAGGGGTTTAAAAACAGGTTGGACAAACCTGTCAGGGACGGTGTAGGTATACTTGATCCTGCCTCCTTATCGGGGAGCAGGGAGTGGGGAGGATGGATGGACTAGATGACCTCTTGAAGGACCTTCCAGCCCTACATTTCTAAGCCTCTGATATAGAATGCACCACTGAATTCTCCATCCCACATGCACACTACATAGAGGACGACCAAATGCTTCATAGCATCAAATGTATCTTCACGAAATACTCAGTCACGCACACATCTGGGCCGAAAACGACCAGCCCATCTCCCTAGAAATTGGAGGGCCCAATCCTGTAACACTTATACAGATAGTCCCAGTGGGCCTGATTCTCCTCTCCCTTATAATGATGTACCCCATCTGAGGATTTGATCCCACTAGCATTGACGTGAGAAGAAATGCAAACCCATTGATCATTCTAGCACAAACATGACTTCTGCTGTCTTGCAGGGTCATAGATTTGGGTTTTGTTAGCAATATTCTTGTTACAAGGCTCTGTGCTTCCTGAAGGGGATGGAGGGACAAGCTCCAATATGTAATATGCCTAGAGAGAAATATTCACCAACTTCTCCCTGCCTAGACGCTGCCTCCCAGGCGTGACTGTTCAGAGAGATTTGGGGGCTGTGAATTGGTACGAAGTAGATGCCATTTTGAAACACGACAAGAACGCATGCCCTAAATTGCCTCAAAACTACAGCTGGGTCCAGCTAATCTAGAAACCTCCAGACCATCTATCCCTTAAGGACGGTTACCAGCAAGTAACTGCCAGGCAGCTGATCCACACAATCCATGACACCAGAGCGGGGTCACAAGAACCCAGTGAGCCAACAAGACATGATCCCCAGTGCACAGCGGTGGTTTTCTTAAGGGTCAGACATCGTCATAAAAGAAACTGCCCTGGATTTTAAAGGACTGTTGAATTTCACAAGAGAGGAACACGCAAAAAGGGTCCTCAGAGCTAGGACCAAAATGATTACCAGGAAAACTGAAGAAGTGACTAGTTTTAATATCTTCCGTAGATATTAAATAGATAGCCCTCTGTGGAGATAGAGGTGGTTAGGGACTATTTAGAAAAGCTGGACGTGCACAAGTCCATGGAGCCGGACGAGTTGCATCCGAGAGTGCTGAAGGAATTGGCGGCTGTGATTGCAGAGCCATTGGCCATTATCTTTGAAAACTCGTGGTGAACGGGGGAAGTCCCGGATGACTGGAGAAAGGCTAATGTAGTGCCAATCTTTAAAAAAGGGAAGGAGGATCCTGGGAACTACAGGCCAGTCAGCCTCACCTCAGTCCCTGGAAAAATCATGGAGCAGGTCCTCAAAGAATCAATCCTGAAGCACTTACACGAGAGGAAAGTGATCAGGAACAGTCAGCATGGATTCACCAAGGGAAGGTCATGCCTGACTAATCTAATCGCCTTTTATGATGAGATTACTGGTTCTGTGGATGAAGGGAAAGCAGTGGATGTATTGTTTCTTGACTTTAGCAAAGCTTTTGACACGGTCTCCCACAGTATTCTTGTCAGCAAGTTAAGGAAGTATGGGCTGGATGAATGAACTATAAGATGGGTAGAAAGCTGGCTAGATTGTCGGGCTCAACGGGTAGTGATCAATGGCTCCATGTCTAGTTGGCAGCCGGTGTCAAGTGGAGTGCCCCAGGGGTCGGTCCTGGGGCCGGTTTTGTTCAATATCTTCATAAATGATCTGGAGGATGGTGTAGATTGCACTCAGCAAATTTGCGGATGATACTAAACTGGGAGGAGTGGTAGATACACTGGAGGGGAGGGATAGGATACAGAAGGACCTAGACAAATTGGAGGATTGGGCCAAAAGAAATCTGATGAGGTTCAATAAGGATAAGTGCAGGGTCCTGCACTTAGGACGGAAGAATCCAATGCACCGCTACAGACTAGGGGCCGAATGGCTAGGTAGCAGTTCTGCGGAAAAGGTCCTAGGGGTGACAGTGGATGAGAAGCTGGATATGAGTCAGCAGTGTGTCCTTGTTGCCAAGAAGGCCAATGGCATTTTGGGATGTATAAGTAGGGGCATAGCGAGCAGATTGAGGGATGTGATTGTTCCCCTCTATTTGACATTGGTGAGGCCTCATCTGGAGTACTGTGTCCAGTTTTGGGCCCCACACTACAAGAAGGATGTGGATAAATTGGAGAGAGTCCAGCGAAGGGCAACAAAAATGATTAGGGGTCTAGAACACATGATTTATGAGGAGAGGCTGAGGGAGCTGGGATTGTTTAGTCTGCAGAAGAGAAGAATGAGGGGGGATTTGATAGCTGCTTTCAACTACCTGAAAGGGGGTTCCAAAGAGGATGGCTCTAGACTGTTCTCAATGGTAGCAGATGACAGAACGAGGAGTAATGGTCTCAAGTTGCAGTGGAGGAGGTTTAGATTGGATATTAGGAAAAACTTGTTCACTAGGAGAGTGGTGAAACACTGGAATGCATTACCTAGGGAGGTGGTAGAATCTCCTTCCTTAGAAGTTTTTAAGGTCAGGCTTGACAAAGTCCTGGCTGGGATGATTTAACTGGGCATTGGTCCTGCTTCGAGCAGGGGGTTGGACTAGATGACCTTCTGGGGTCCCTTCCAACCCTGATATTCTATGATATGATTCTATGATATTTACTATCGGTTATACACCGCTCTACAACAGAGGAGATATTGTGTGTATCTGTGTATACGTACGCATGTTACAATATATACGCACAAATATATTTATATACGCACAGTATGTGTATATGAATATATGATAAAGTACATATATACTTATATTTTCTATGTATATTTACTAAATACACTAATGCACATGAGAGTAATTACCTACTCACACACACACACTCTATGTTCTCTACATATATAAGTATATTACATGTACTATAGAATGCAGGGGTTTTCCAAAGCCAGTTACAGAAGTACTCCAGAATTCTGAATGGCGTAAATTCTCTTAGGTACAGGTTCTGCAACAAGCTCTGTGTAGACAGAACCCTGCAGCCATTCTAAGTCCCAGTGAAGTCAATGGGGCTTCAGGCAGAGGGGCCGACCCATCTGGGGCCCCTTCCGAGGTCAGAACCTTGGCAAAAGTTGTCCTTGTGTAAATACCTCCCAGTGGGTATCAGTCTGATGAGGCAGGTTACTGCTCCAGGAATGCTCATCCAATTGGAAAGCTCTTGGTGCAGGAAGCTGCTGGGAGGTAAGGTTTACTGTGTTATATGAACATCTGGGATTTATTCCTGTACTGGCGGGGAAGGCCTAGAACTTACAGCTCTGAACTCTGCTGTGCATGCAAATGAGACCTGAATTTCCTCCCATTTTAATCTGTGCCAGTCTGTTAGGACAGATGCTTCTGACTGGATAACCATTCTTGTTTCCCCTTCCATAGAGCTGAGGACACTGATACTTCACAATGATCTCCTCAAAGCACTGTCCAGTCATTAAGGGACAGGCTGTGTGCCCTGCTGCCCCATGGTGGTGCGCTGTGGGGCTGTGTCTTCTCCTGAATCTCTGTGCTCTGCGTAAGTATTATTCCTATTTTACAGATGGTGAGACTGACATGCGGACAGGTCAAATGATCAGCTGAAGATCACAGAACGAATCACTAGTAGAGCCCAGCTGAGAACTCAGGACCCCCTACCTGCTCCTCTTGAACTTAGAGCGCTGGAAAAAGCAGCCCCTAGTTTAACGTAGGACCCTCCAAAATGGCAGGTTCATGCATGAATGCTTCTACGCCGCCTACTGTCACCTCCCATTCCCATTTGACCCCCACTGGTACAACTTAAAGGAGGAGCAGACCTAGTGCCTCAACCTCCCCAAATGTTATCTCCCAAAGTCAGGGAGCACTTGTTCTTTGCAAAGTAAGAGTAGCAAGGCTGTAACAGGAGAGTGGTCTCCATGAACAGGGTTTAAGCATGGGGCGCTGTCATTAGAATCTCTTACAGCTGGCATAACACATGTATTCAGACTGTAAGCTCACTGGGGCAGAGATTGTCTTGTTCTGGGTTTGTGCAACACCTAGCATCATGGGGACCTGGTCCGTGACTAGGGCTCCTAGGTGCTACCACAGTAATAACCAGAACCCAGCCCTCCCGTTCTCCATGTCCTAGAACACAGCTGCCAGCCTGCAGATGTTAGAACCACTCCCACCTGCCCTCCATACTCATATGAGCACTACATTTTGGATAGACTTGGGCGTGGATTCCACTTACTTGGGTTGGCTGGGTCTCTGTGGACTGGCTGGGCCAGTCCACAGCAAATGTGCTATCACTAGGGTTGTCAGCAAGACCCGGATCCACCGACTGCATGCTGCTCGAGGAAGTCTTTTCAGGCTGGCGGTTGGGATTGGGGAAGACAGACAGAGAGAAGAGGAGGAAGATGGCGGTGGATAAAAAGGAGACATGCATGGTAAGTAAGGGGGAAACAGCAGAAAATGAGACATTAACAGAGGTACAGATCCGCTGGGCAGCTATTTGCCATTGAACTACAAAAACTTGAACATATTATGAAAACCGGGCTGCAACTCCACCGGCAAATCTCATTATTTTTCAGTTGCTTGCTGCATCTTCTCAATGACAGTGGTGCAAATCCAGAGTAACTCCAGTGGTCTTGGACAATGACAACAGAGCAACTCTGGATTTACCCCAGTATAACCGGGAACAGAATCCAGCCCTTAGAACACCCCCCACCCACACACATATTTGGCCAGCTTAGTAATTGTTCTCTTGTGTCTCCTAACCCAAGCGACTGTATTACAGAGAAGTGTGTGACTCGCTGTCCCTTCAAAAAGGGAGTAAGGTTTCAGTTTACAGGACAGCCAAGAAAACTGTGTGAGCAATGCGTTTTAGCCTAGCAAGGCTGTATGCACGGGATCATTTATTACAGCTATTATGGAGAAGGAAGCCGAGTGGCTTTTCATCATTTGTTTACAGCAGCGGCCGCTTAGGAAGATTAATCACTTTAATTAAAAGAAACTCAGCGTGGTGTTGTGGAGGGGAAAGTGCCTGGTGACTGGACACTTCCTGAGGATCAACACAGCTAGCAGTGAATCTAACAAGCCACTCCCAAGCAACCATCAATATTGCTCAGAAGGCCAAGCATACCCAGTGATGGTTTGGTTGAACAGACTAGCTCCATGCAGTTTGATGCAGCTGGGGCGTTGGCCTTTGGGAGAGGCAGCTGATAGCAGAATAGACAGGAAAGCAACTGGGGGGGTGGGGGGGTTACACTGTAGTAAATGTGAGAAGCAAAATTAGCCCAGATAAGCAAAGAAAACACAGGTTTTCTCACTGGGATCGATAGATAAGGAGGGTGTCTATTATAATGAACCTTCTCCCAAGGACATATTCTAGGAGGGTTTCCTTAATTGGGAAGTGTGAATTCAGCACCCAGAGAAATGGTGGACTTCCAGGAGGGACTAAAGACTGGTAACGGGCGTGTTTTTCCCTTTCCTCAACTTTGCCAATGCACTTCAGGCCTAACCCTCTGCCCCCGCTCCCACCCCTCTATTCCAATCCTGGGGCCTTTCACAGCTCTGGGAATGAGACCACCTCCTGCTATTCCAGCAACAGGCCTTTCTGGAGCAGATAGGGTGACCAGACAGCAGGGGGTGGGGGTGGGTAATAGGAGCCTATATAAGAAAGATGCTAAAATCAGGACATCTGGTCACCCCAGGAATAGAAACTGCCAGTTCTGTAAACTTAGTGGCTCTGGAATGAACAAGAACCAACGCAGTGAAGATTAACTCCCTCTCCTTCCTTAGAGGTTTTTAAGGTCCGGCTTGACAAAGCCCTAGCTGGGAAGATTTAGTTGGGGATTGGTCGTGCTTTGAGCAGGGGCTTGGACTAGATGACCTCCTGATGTCCCTTACAACCCTGATATTCTATGATTCTGTATTCTATGATTCTAACTGGACACAAGATTTGAACTCTGCACCAACAGGCTTGTTCACCCAACCTTCCTGGCTAGCCTCTCCCACACCATCCTGCCTTGCTCACTAGAACTTCAGGGGGAAATGAGGCCCTGTTGTGCTTCGCGTAAACTAGATAGCTGCAAAGTAGGCTGGGTGTGTGGGTCATGAGCACAGCACTGTTACAAACAGTAAGCAACATCAACCTCTTCAAGAGAGGCTCAGAGAGCCTGCCAGGAAGGGATAGACCTTCTACATTGTTATCACTACTGATTTTAACCAATTAATAAATCCATCAAATTTCAAAACACTCAGTAAAAGCACAAGGCAAGGGTCCCCCATAACAAGGTCAGGCCTTAAACCTGAGCCCCAACTGTGTCCTCCACTCATGGGCAAGTTTATACCTGTATTTTCCTCACATCCCTCCCTTTGACTGGCGAGTCCTCCTGAGGGGAGGGAAACAGAATCCTCCAAGAAAGCACACACCTTCGCCAGCAGATCTCACCTCAAGAGCAACACGTCCAGCATGTTTTCCCCCCATCATGTCTGGGTCAAACCCGTTCTCTGCTGCTCTCATGCCTCGGGTCTCCTAGACACCACTCAAGCCAACGGACTGGCGAAGTAACCCTTCTGACGCACTTGGATTTATCCATGAGACAAGCTGGGATATACACAGCTTTCCCCCAGTGCAACCACTTCCATTTTTCTTAACTCCAAGCCCAATCAGCTTCCAGTCTGAAACCTACAAGATCCTGTAAGTGTTTTGCTAATAACAGCAGGAGTAATGAAAAAATAAATACCTTGGTCCAACAGTCATCACTTACCGCCAGCCACCCTACTGGTCTAATTTAACATACACTCCTTATCCCATCAGTTCCTTCCTAATGTTTCCTACTTACTCCATTCCTGGCCTTACAATGCCATGGATATTTTGAATACCTGAGCTAAAACCACTATGTAGATGCTTCCCACAGCAACTCTGACTTAAACACAAACACAGGGAATGCTACACAGGTTGCTCCTGTTTAATTAGATTCACTCCCAGGTTGCTTATTATTTGAATTCAATGGGCTTGTAACAGGGACTGACAGCAACCATCATCCATTTGGCCAAGTGTGTCTTTGTTTGGACAGGTGAAAAGAAACCCATGGTGAGCAATAGATTTCTCAGCCAGCTAATTTGCAGAAACTGTGTTTAATGAGCCAGGGATGGAATCCAGTTAGTCTCTTGGCTTTCAGCAAAAGGCATTTGGATGTCACCTGCCTACGTCTCTATTTTAGGAACTTTCAGCATAGCAGCAGAGGGACAATGCAGTCATATAGAGTCACAGAGATGGGGGAAGTGCCTTTGCTTTCCGCAGGTTTGGAAGCTTTGCTTACTGAATGGGTTTTCTGCTTTGTTTTAATCCATCAGCATCTTCACATACACTCTATCGCACCTCCAGACTGCTCTCTGGAGCAGCAGAACTGAGCCAGGTCTCTTGTTACAACCCGCTCCAATGTGACTGCAAGGTTCAAAGCTGGTTACTTGCCATAGGATTCAACGCTACAGCAGAAAAACCAGGCACCTGTCTTAAGGGGAAAGTTATGGAAGCCTGGTCGGTTTAAACCAGTGTACAGTAACTCCTCGCTTAACATTGTAGTTATGTTCCGGAAAATGCGACTTTAAGCGAAACAATGTTAAGCGAATTCAATTTCCCCATAAGAATTAATGTAAATAGGGGGGGATTAGGTTCCAGAGAATTTTTTTTCCCACCAGAAAAAAAAACTATACATACACACATATATATACACTCTATACATTTTAAACAAACAAATTAATACTGTACACACCGATGATGATTGTAAAGCTTGGTTGAGGTGGTGAAGTCAGAGGGTGGGATATTTCCCAGGGAATGCCTTAGTGCTAAATGATGAACTAGTTTTTGGCTGAGCCCTCAAGGGCTAAACACACTGTTAATATAGCCTCGCACACTACAAGGGGGCACGAATGGAAGGAGGGGAGACAACATGGCAGACAGAGACAGACACACCCAGCGTGTGGGAGAGAGAGAGATGTGCATTGCCCCTTTAAGTACACTGACCCCACTCTTAAGTGCATTGTCTTTTTAAGTTGATCAGGAAGTTGAGACAGCAGCAGCTGCTGCTCCCTCTGTGACCCCACTGTGCGCTATATGGAGAAGGGGTAAGCGGGTGTAGCAGCAGGGGGGAGGGGGACACCTTGACATTAGCCCCCCTGCCCAGCAAGCAGGAGGCTCCCGGGAGCAGCTCCAAGGCAGAGAGCAAGAGCAGCACATGGCAGTGGGGGGAGGGACAGCTGAACGGCCGGCAATTGATAGCCTGCTGGGCGGGTGCCACACAGGGAACTTAGGGGAGCTGATAGAGGGGCTGCCAGCCCACCCTGGTTCCAAACCCCCACCAGCTCGCTGCAAGGGGCTGCTCTTCCTGCAAGCAGTGGACAAAGCAGGCGGCTGCCAAACGACGTTAGAAGGGAGCATTGCACAACTTTAAACAAGCATGTTCCCTAATTGATCAGCAACGTAACGACGTTAACTGGGACGACTTTAAGTGAGGAGTACCTGGCTCTACGCTCCCCTCTCTCACGGTACGTCTACACGGCGCACTCCTTACAGCGGTGTGTAGAGTACAGACCCTGCACACGCCCCCAAGTATGGGGATTAACAAAGGGGTCAACAGTGGGGTACTGCTTAGGTGAGTAAACGCACATCTGAACCTTTAAGGTATAAACCCCACACGGCTCTCTACATGCCCAAGCAGTACCTCCTCTGTCTACACAGCTTTTTTCTAGCAGTGTCCCGCTGCCACACTGAAAGGCGCCGGCAGCAGGGAGGTGATGGAGCTTTTTCCTGCTGCCTCCCCCCGCCAGAGCCTTTCACTGCTGCGTGTAGCTACACACCACAGTGTGGACATGGCCTACCTTTCACTGCAGTGTGTAGCTACGTGCCGCAGCCAGCAGTGTATAGTGTAGACACAACCTCGGACCCCACCCCAAATGTATCAGGATGGGTCGAGGCAAGGAAAGATGTGGGCCAGGTGCCTTATGTTCCGGCAATCCCTGGCTGGTACAATTGTCCCTAGGCAACCATTTCTGTCAGCATAGTTCTGAGGTTGCTCTCAGTTATGGTGGGGTCAAGCCGGCTCCCAGGATAAGGGGAGCAGAAAAGTGGCTTAAAGCAACTTTCACTCCTGCTGCCAGGTCACACACTGAGCTCAGCTAGACTTGAGGATCTGGTTCCAGGTGCTTGTTCCAAAGACAGGAACGGAGATCTCTTGAATCTGAAATCTCATGGAAATAGGAGATAGCGGGTACATTGCAGAGACTGGGAACTCTGATTCAAGGGACACTGCTCATTGTTACTTGTATGTACAGTGCCTGGCACAATAAGGTTCTGATCCCTGATTGGGGTTCCCAGGTGTTACTAGGACACTAATAACTTCCTACTCCCAGCCAGGCCAGGAATAATGTCTTTTTCGTGGTGTTTCAGCCCTTCCTGCTTCCAACAGGAAGCAGAAGACCAAAGGTAGCAACAGTGAAAAAAACATTTTATTTCAAAGCTAAAGCTTTTCCAAACTCAAAGCAGATTAGGAGTTCGGGGGCCACAGTTTGGGCCAATCCTCACTTTATTCAAACTGCTTCTCCCCAGTTATGCTCCATTTAATAGCAAGAACACAGGTGGGCCAATATATTTCCTTGTGTATAAACAGAGGAGAAGCAGGGTTTCCAACTCCACCTGAGCCTAATGATTGGAGACACCCCCCTGCCACTGTCTGGGAGGACACAAAAGGGAAAAAATATACATCGGTTCTTCACTCTGATCCCCAAAGATAGCAAAGAAACCACGGCTTCAGAGAGTAACAGGCACTCGTTCATCTGAGGAAGGAACACTCAGCGGACTCATGCCAGACCATGATGGGGGCATGAGAGCAAACACTTCTCAAAGGGACTGGCTGCACTGCCATGAAGTAAGCAGACATCCGCAACCAGGGCTGTCCACTTTTAAGGCCTGAAGCCTTTCCCTGTGAAGAGACAGACTTTTTTTTTTTCTTTTTTTAAACACAGACAGTTCACAAAGAGGGGAAGCAAAGATCAACATCGACAGCCAATAAAAACACATAGGGGAAGCATCCTTCTCAACATGCCCAGGGCATGCATCGTGGAGACTGCTCAATGCCATATAGGAAGCTTGGGCCAGATTGTCACCTGGTGTCAACCATCTTCCTTCCTTTAATTTTACACCAGCGGAGGGTCTGGCCCTTTAACACAAAGGAAGACCGATTCATTTCTTGAGCAGAAACGAAGAGGCAGCGTTTCTCGATTCGGCATTTCTGCTAACAGTGATCGACCACGAGCAGCAAAGCCCGCCAGACACCCCACATTTGCATACAGGAAGGAGGTAAATTCAGGGGCAGTTGAGAGGCATGCAGGTTGCACAATGAAAGAGAGACAGGACAGAGAGGTTTGGAAGCCTGGAGAGGAAAGGAGCAAACACGACACTGCGGCTGTGGTGGGGTTAGCTTCAGGCGATGCTGACTGCAATGCAAAACACCAAGGGAAAGACAGGATTGCTAATGGCACATTCTGCTGGGAGTGCCAGAACGCAGGGCTGCGTTTTTAGGCCGATCCACAGAACAGAAGGCAAAAGCAGGTTCGAGGCACAGGGAGCAATTCTGGCATGGCAGGGAGGGAGAGGCAGGAGGAAGAAGACTGTGCCGACACATGCCAAGGGAGACCGTAAGAGTTTACCAAAATGGAAGCTGTATAAAATTCTTACCTCCCATAAATCCCAAGGTAAAGACTAAGCATGTCAAAGAGCAACAAGAACAAAAACAGGTTTATACTTGATTATTTCCGCCAACGGAAGCAATACAAATATTGGTCAGAGTAAGGCAGATGTACACATTCCACTGCACTTGCCTCTACATTTTTCTTAACAATACACCTGCTTGCCATACAGTTACACCCTAATTTGCAGTGTAGACGTACTCTAGGTCACACAGCCCTCAAACATCAATGGCCGACAGTGCCACTGGTCACCATCTCGCCACTGGGAAAATTCAAGGGCTAGTGGCATATGGTTTTCTCCCTTTAAAACCTTCGGAAGCATTGGGCTGGTCATGCTCATTTCCACGACTGCAGTGATGGGGGGAGAGAGGGGGGGCACGGTTCAGAACTCTGCTTTGTGTTCGGGCCCCCTGCTGATGCCAAGGATCAGCTCCCAGCAGCGTCGGTAGCAGCAAAGATAGGCCAGCGCTGAGCGCTTTTGAAAATCCCTCCCATAATCCTGACATTGGCTGCTTGTCTTTAAGGCCCGGTCTACACACAAAAGTTGTACCATTTTCATGACACTTGTTTACTTTATCCTGGTATAAGCACATGTTAATTAAACTTGTTAGTCTATTTGCATATGGAAGGGAAAAAGCTGTACCAGTAAAAGGTATCTGCTCTAGGACTATTTCTACACAACAGACTTCAGCTAGGTGTGATCCCTGACTGACGAAGCTATGCTGGCAGAAACCCCAACTGTAGATACAATTATACCAGCAAAAGTGCACTTTTACTGGTATTGCTTGGTTTTTTGGGGCGTGGTGGAATAAGATATATTGGTAAAAGTACAGTTTCGCCAATGCAGTTGTGTCCACGCTAGGAGCGCTTTATCAGTATTCCTACTTCAGCAAAGCACTCCTAGTGTAGACTATTAGTGGCTAAAAAAAAAAACCACCACACACAACAAGGTTATAATGGCACAAAAAATCTGTTTAGACCAGCCCTAATTAACATTATCACAGTATTAGAACACTGCAAATATCCCACACCTGTTAGTTACTCATAAGTGTGCAGGTTTCAGTTCATAGTAGAAAAAAGCAGACCAGGATCAGGAAATGCTGCTCTTTTCTTTCACATCTGGAATGGAAGTTCAGATATTGTCCTCTACCTGGAACCCAGGAACGGTTTCAAAGACTCTGCCCAATTCAGTAGGGATCTGAAGCAGAGCTGATCTTGCATTAAATACAGGAGAGTTTGTATATATTCAAAAGATCTCCTCTTTAGAAACAAATCTGTATTTGCCAGTTAATTCCCTCTATGCAGCATCACTAAGCCCGTCTTTTAATTGGGAGCCAAATGTTCACCAGAAACACAGACAATGCCAGAGGGGATCACACCAGAAGTCCCCCCAATCCAGTATCCTGTCTCAGACAGTGGTCTGCACCCGAGGGTCTCAGGAAGGTAAAACCTCTGTGACAGTCAATTATGCAATAACAAGCTCATGGAGGAAGTGCTTCTTAACTCCACATAGTTAGAAGCTGGCTCCTGTCCAGAGGCAGGAGCTTTAATATCCCTTCCAAAGTTTTATCCTGTCTAACGTAACCGCAGATTGTTCACTCTTTGATTCTTAAAAATCACTCTGCTCCCGCCGCTAACCAAACCGAGTCATTTGCTGGGAGGAGCCCAGCACTATGGTTGGGTTTCCCAGCAATACACTCAAGGCGACACTAAATCCATGTGGGACATGGTCCATGCTAACCTTGTGATGCACATTGACTGAGTTTCCCAGGCCAAATCCTCAGAGCCGGGCACACTGGGTGTCCCGCAAACATCCACATTCTCTGGGCAGATCAGATCGCTGCATGTGAAAAGCCAGGCGCACGCTCACGAGCGTCCGAGACAGCTCACAGATCTGCAGGGGCATGTGCACACCCCTTGAGAGCTCGGTCAATATGGAAATATGCACTGAAGGCACAGGCTGACTCCACAGTCGGTAACGGTTCACGTACTCATGGAAGAGGGAATGGGGATAAGTAACAAACCTGAGTGGCAGGTGTGGGTGTCTTCCCCACAGGGCTGGCATCTAGTTTAATGGGATCAAAATCCAGATCCAACAGGCTGGCTCCCTCCTGGAAGGGCCCAGGGGCATCAAACTTGGCAGCAGTAAGGAAGAAAAGCAGTGTGAGCATTAGACAGATACCAGAGATAGACTGTACATGGCAGTTGATATCCAGGACTCAGGGGGCAGATGCAGAGGGCACATGGTGGGCATAACAACAGATGCCTCCATGCCTGTGCTCGTGCCCCAGATTGCATGATGCCAGTGAGCATGTGCAGCGCACCAAGGAACGCATGCAAACCAAGAACTCAAACCTCATCCGTTTTCCTACTTGTCTGGATTGCTCTGTGGCTAAGACAGCGTGGTCTGATATGGCCGAAATGCCATTGCACTGGTTAGCTTGGAAAGGTTTCTCATCTATTCCCAACTGTCCTTTGCAGCTTTTCTGCATCAGCAACAGCCACAAGGTGCTTCCAGCTCAGGATTAGTTTCCCTGTGCAGCCTACCTGCATTCAGCTCACCCGTCATATCTACACCAGCTGCTCAGGAGCTTGGGAGGGAAAGGCACGTGACCCTGGAAGGTACCTCCAATGGAGACACAAGTCTAATCCCTAAAGTTACTGATCTGTTACCCCTCTTCAGACTCCAAACACCATCACAGTCACATGTGTCATAGGTGAGAGTTCACATCTACCCCATGGTTCCTGAGGGCCATCGAATTCCACACCTGTCAGTGCAAGCTCCAATGCTGTCCACACTGGGGCTCTCCAGTCCTCAAACACACACACCAGGACTAACGTGCTTTGTATTTTCCAAGACACACCCAGATTCAAGAGATGTCACTGCTACCTTCCGAGCCAGCAGAGTGAGTTCCGTTATCTCTAATACACAAGCAGATGGCACTATCGGGGCATTCATGAACTGCCTTTAATGCAGCCCATGTGGTAACCGTCACATAAGGGGAACTGGTCATTAACATTCAGTCCTGAGCTAATGCCATTCATTTTTAGATTCCTGCAGGGCCATTATGAGACATCTCCTTTCTGAATTGCTCTTCCTTTGAGAAGAAAGAATTCTGCTCTATAAGCTTTGTGCTTTCAAAGGATTTTCCCCAAGCTCGCTGGCCCTATAATTTCAACTATATTTCCAGTTCCACCCACGGTTGTTTTCTGTTGTTCCGCCCCAACTCCAGCAAAGTCCAAGAGTAAAAACGCTCCTAGTACTTACTAAACACACCAAATTACCCAACGACAAGCTTCAGTATCAAGTTAGGACATTAATTCATTGGCCCATCCAGGCTGAAGAGGACCACAAAGTTTAGCATTTTGCAGCACCACCACTACAGTTAACAGAAAGTGCCATACATGAGATCCACACCCTTGTTACTTTCCACCGCAACACAGTTTACTCCCAGTTCCACTTCTCTTTATCGCTCTCCCAGTCTTATGGGCTTCTGGTGCACCCATTAGCACTCACACGAAGGAGTGTGGCCAGCAGCCACCCAGGTCCCCAACCCAAAGTGTTAACACTAACCAGCACCCAGCCTCTATATCCCACTGGATAATTCTATAATAGTTCCTAGATAATTCTCTAGTAGAGCAATGTCTTCACAGAGGTTCCACCTCCCATGCTTTACTTAGTATTCAGAGATCAAAGGCTCTGGCTAGGCTGGAATCTTACCTGCTGTTCAAGCGTTATATGTACCATGGATTAGGCTTCCTGCCCTTTGCCTAATGCACCCCCAATAACTATCTTATAAGGGGCACAAGTGCACATTGAAATGGCCCTGGGGAATACACCGAACATTCATGGACACTGGGTGGCCCAGTGGTGTGTGTTCTAGAAACAAGAGTCCTCCCTCAGAGATCACGTCTTTTTGGATGACACAGCAGGTCCCATCCTGGGTCGTGCGCACTGAACTGCCGTGTGCTGGAATCCCTGGATAAATGCAGGTGTTCACACATTATACGAACAATGTAACAGACAGTGATCGGTTACGCAGACATGCGACAAGCTACCCAGGCATGCAGAAGGAGAAAGAATTGAGCAGTGGCCCGTGGCTTTCTCCTGTGATGTAAACATACACAGAACGCTTGTTAGATTGTCCAGATATGAATGTAACTGGAGCAGAGGAGAGTTCTGTATTGGGGACAGTGCAGAGATGCTGCAGCTGTTGACCTCCAAAGCTCTGCATGATTACACACTTGTTCCTTACGGTCCTCCAGATACTCCTTCCCAACTGCTCCCTTTGTCTCCTTCTTTCATGCCGCTACCCTTCCCAGGAACAGCCTCCTGCTCCCTCGGAACTAAGCACTCTCTCCGCTCTTCCTGCAAATACCCTCTTAAAACCCACCTCTTTGGGGATCTCCCCACAAACAGGGTCCTCGCACTTTCATGCGCCATACCCATTACCTTGCATAGTGCATGCAAATTAGTTTAAGCTTCCTCGAGAAGGGACCTCATCTTTACTAAGTGTTTGGAAAGTGCTGTGCGCACTTACAAGGCTCTGTTAAGATCAGATCATCTCCCCCGTGATTTTCCCTCAGCTTGGTTGCTGAAGCTGGATGCCCTGACTAAGCCAAAGCAGAACCTTACCCCAGCTGTGATGCCAGCAGTATCCGACAAGGACACTGGGGGAAAGCATCCAGCTGAGGTGGGCTCAGGCCACAAAATATGGATCTGGGTATCGGGCCTTTTGCCTTGGGGTGAGTCAGGAGCCCATGAATTTAGGATGCCCAGAGGTTTTAGTCTGGGCCCATCTCTCTGCCTGCAAACCTTTAATACTTAAAGTTAAACAAAGACTAATGGACCCTGCATAATATTTGTAAAATGTATCGAAATTGGGGAAAGGTCCAGTGTTGGATCCTGTCATGCCCTGGTCACTGCTGCCTTTCACCCCAAGTGGAGTTAATGGGGGAAATCCTGTCCCCACTAAAGTCAATGGCAAAACTCCCATTGATTTTAATGGGGCCAGGATTTCACTCCAATGCACAGATCCCCCAAACCAGAGCAATCCCGAATGGCTTCTAGACAGTCTCCTTCCCAGGCAGGTCAATGGACTTTATTAGAACCTTCTCATGTCCTGCTGGCAGTTTGCTTTGAAAGCTAGAAAGCTTAATATTTTCTTTAAGATCCCAGCCATTCACTATGGTTTCCAGCTTACAGAAGCCCCTGCAGAAATTGACATTCCAATAATCAATCAAGGGGCTGAGTACACTGACAAAGGCCAGTATGTTCAGAGGGACAGCAGACACCATACTGCCTTCATTGACCCCATGGTGCTCGGTCTGGTGGAGATGACAAGGTGTCATGCTACATGAAGAACACTGCAGGAGCAACAAACCATGGGAAATGCCAAAAATCACGCAATGCCAACTATTTTGGGCCAGATTCTGAGTTCAGTCACATGGGTGCAAATCCAATTAATTCAATGGAGTCACTCCAGATTTACCTTGGAGTAACCAAGTCTGGAATCTGCCCCTTTGTTGGGGGACAATTTAGCCCATAGACTTTTATAGTCTGCTTCCCTACGTTGGTTTAATATTATGTTGGACATCAGTATCAATACAGGAACTTGCGCTGAAGGACATCTCTCCCCTCCCCCCAAAAGGAGAGGCCTCTGTCTGTGATGGCATGAGCCTGGCACAGCCAAGTTTTCAAGCAAAATGTCCTCACTAAAAACAAAGGCAAGCATCCACCGCCAGGCAGCTGTCAGCTAAATGTTGCTGAAAGAATATAGTAGCAGTGACAGGGTTGGGAGCCTGAAAGGCTTTGAGATAGGGTTGCCCACCCTCCAGGATTGGCCAGGAGTCTCCAAGAATTCAAGATTAAACTTTAATTAAAGATTATGTCACGTGATTAAATCTCCAGGAATACATCCAACCAAAATTGGCAACCCTAATTTGAGAGCTTTAGCAAAGGAGGAAAGATTTTGTTTTGAAGGGTGGGATTTTGTTCATTGGGGGTCCTTTGGTCAGAATGAACACGGACCCCCTTTAATGGTAACCCCTCCCACTGCCTGTTTGATGCTGAGTACTCGAACACTATTGCTGTCCACATCACCCCTCCACTCTGATTTCAACCAGCCTCCGTGATATCCCACTGTAACTTGAGGCCTAGCTTTCTTTCTCCCAACCCTGCGTGTCTTGTTTCTCCACAGTTGAGTGGAAGCTGGAAAGCCACAGGCCACTGAATTTGAGTTACAGAAGGAAAAGCGAGGAGGACAGTTACAGAACAGCAGTGTTAGAGGTGTCACCTGGGTCTTTCAGGGATGAATTAAAAAAAACTGAACATAAAAGGCAGCGCGAGTCTCATAATTAAGCCAGAAAACTGGTCAGGCTCCCATCAGCCCAGAGAGTAGTACCCAGGGATCTAATACTGAATAGCCTGCCCATTTCCCCAGACCCCTTCTCCAGCTGCAAACCACGTTAAAGAGAAGGAGAGGAACATTTTCCCTTTGAAATTGCGTTTGATCTTCAGGACTTTAACTGCAGAGACTGAGCGCTGATTAAGAGCCACCAGCCTCAGGCCAGCGCCACTCAGAGATAATGCTATTATAGAGAGCTGAAAGCAGTGAAAGGTGCCAGCAGAGGTCTCTAGAGACTGAAGTCCTTGATCCTCAGCCCCGTCTTGTAGGTGATTTCTTGCCCACTCCACCGTGTTCCTGAGACACTCCCTTTCCATACGAGAAGTGGCATTTCAAAGCCAAAGGAGCCTAATTTTCAGAGGCGCCAAGCGCCCATATCTACCTTCAGCTGGACCTGTCCTAGCCTCTGATTATCAGGCCCTGGGAGCGTACAGCAGCAGAGCAATGAGTGCCTCACCCAGGCCTGTTGGGAAGCATGTCTAGGCCCGGCCGCTCTTCGCCTGCACGGTGGACACAAGTGAGCGATAGCTTTGTGACCCCTTCACTAGGCGCCCCACAGAGTCCTCCCTCTTCATTCTACACAGGCCACGAGAACAGCCGTCACACAGCCCTGGCTTCCGCGGTATCCGATTGGCAATCTCAGCCCCCGGCCATGCAGCGGCAGCCGGCCCCTCTGGCCCTGCCTCCTGACCAGGTTTCGTGGCGTGACACCTCTAAGCAGGGGACAGCGCCCGGGGCTGGGAGCAGACAGAAATAAGGCAGGGCAGAGCGGCTAACCTGCGAGGGGGTGGTCACGCTTATCTCGGGGACAAAATTGTCAAACAGACTGATGATGTTCTCGTGCTTGATCTCCTTGGAGGGGGTGTGCTTTGGAGGTGGCGGCACCGGAGGGCCTTTCCGCAACTGCATGCAAGCGAGCGAGCACACGACGACACCCAAAAAAACCAGAGACAGGAACCAGGTTAGCCAAAATAGAACCACAGACACAAGGAGGGGTCAAATAAATCAACATGGAAAGAGGGGAGGGGAAACCATCACACGCCTCCAGAGAAGGCTTGGCATCATTAGTTACACTTCAGCCACGGGCGGGTCTCCCTCTGTGGGGGAGAAGCGTAACACAATTAATATGCATCACTCGGACATGCATATGTAATTAGAGCACGTGCAACCTTCCAGAGGACCACCGGGGTGACAGACAGGTTACTCAGCACACATTTCCACAGAGACGTCAGTGTGCTGGCCACTGCTCCCGCTACCTACCTGTTTGGTGTGGGCCTAGGGGCGTTAGAAGCCAAAGCAGATTGGACTTATTCACACGTGGACACCCAGTGGGCTGGATCCTGATCTCCCTTCCACTGGTTTCAGAGCATCAACTGCAGCATAAGCGAGACCAGATGGGGCTCCTCGTGAGAGTGACACCACCAAGACTCAGATCTGGGGTCACTGAAACATGTGAGAATGAGCTCGCCCGGAGCCTGTCGAGTCTCGGCTTCACAGGCGTGTAACGCTAGTGAGATACCACTGAAGTCACAAGAGTCATGGGGGCATAAATCCAGGGGCAGGCAGTGGGGTCAGGCCATGCCTCTGTCCATATCTGACATCCTCCCTCACTTCACAGTGGGAGCCTTTGATTCAGTGCGGCATGCGCACTCTTTGGATGCTGTGGGAACATACTATAGGGAATGGCAAACCAGTTCAGGCACTGTTTGAATTTCCTTTGCCCCCAGATATCCGAGCTCAAACTGAACCTGCTGAGACGATGCTGATGGACTGGGGAAAAACAGTCTACTGTACAGTGTGGTGAAGATTTCCAGAACTGTAATATTGCTTAGCACCCCATATCACTTTCTATGTCAAAAAGCTTTATGAACATTAATCTTCTCATCCTACCTAAGGAGGGCGGTCATTATTATCCCCATTTGCAGCCAGGGAAAACTGAAGCAGAGAGCATGTGACTTGACAAAGGACAGACTGCCTATCAGTGTGAGATCTGGGATTAGAACATGCAGATCCTGGCTCTTGGGCTTGTGTTCACTCCACGAGGCTGCACCCCCCCCCCCCCTCGGATGCATGAATGCGTGTCCTACCAGACATTTATTTGGCTAGCCACAGAAAATGCTAGCCAAAGGCTAATCTGCCCTGGCCAACGTGCCTGTAAGATTCCATAAACACATCTTCTGAACTACAGCTGGCTGCAGGCCCCTGGGTAGACTGTAAGCAAAAATGGAAGTGGCACTTTCACTTCCAGATCTCAGCTGTGTGGAAGCAGAAGTGCCAAAATGCCACAGGAACAGCCTCTCCCGCAGTATCCTGAGCCCAGCCAGATGCAGAAGGTACCACAAGTCTCATGGGAAAGACTGTTCTCCTAAGAGTGAAGCCAAAGTTTGCTGTCACAAGAGGCTCTGGGTACTAATCCAGAACCAAACACCGACTCTTTGGAAGTTTGCCCCTCTCCAATGCACCCATCCTCCTAATCGCTCATGGGGGTGGCTCTGTGGGGAATGACAGTAGTGCAATGACTAATCCTTCCACAGCGTTTATGTAGCCCACCGCACACTGCACCGCATCTGTACAGAGCCCTGTCACGGTGTCTCGATTCTGAATGGAAAGAATGCTCCCTGGACATGGTGGTTATACACTGAAGGAAATGGAATACCCTCCAGGCCAGCCTTCTGGTTCCAGCCCAGACTGGAGCTTGTATCCCCTATTCTGGTAAAACCAGACATTGTTCATTTTGAACAAGACCATCCGGAAGGACTCCGCTGCCCAGAAAGGAAGTTACACCCCCAACCCCATCTACTAAGCTTGGGCCGTGTTCGCCTGTAGCAGCGTAAGTCCATGGTAGCTCCATTGACTTCAGTGGCGTCGCTCCAGATTGACAGCAACGTAGCTGAGAGCCCAATTCCTGCCCTTGTGGTTTCATGAGGCCCACTGGTTCCGACGTCCAGGATCACCCTCACAGACCCATTAACGCGTGTGGAGACGTGCTGGCCGTCACTTCATTAGGAGGCTAGACAGAGGCAGCTTTTCTGAAGAGAGAGATGGTAGGAAACAGCTCGAGAGCTGAAATAGTGACAACCCAACAGGATCTTTCTGCTAGGCACGGATCCTCTAAGTGCCTAGCACCCAGTGATGTCAATGGTCTCTCCTTTTGCCTCCTTTCCTGTCCGTTCAATATGCCCCTCTGTTGCTTTCCACACACCACGCTGGCTGTTAGCATCAGTGTACCCTGGGGTGGGGGGAGGACGTAGCCAGGGTATTTCACATCCCTGATGCTGTCCACTCAGGGCTTATCACCCCAGACTGAGTCATTTACCCCGTGACTTGCCATCACCCACGTACATCCCATACAAAGCTTCATATTAAACACTGATAACTGAGGGAGCAGCTTTTGTGCTTTAACTCATGTGGCTAAGTGCTCTGGGTTTTTCCACCCACACACTAAGAGCTGGGAATAAGGAGGAGGCCATGTGGCCTATCCAAGTCTGCCCAGTGTCATTCCTCCCTTCAGTTGTTTGGAAACCCCCTCGCTGTCTTCCACGCGTCTGGATCCAGCTCCCTCTCTTGTGCTTGATGCACCGACCCAGAAGGTCACGCTGACGGCACACCGCCCGTATCTGCACTCCTCACGGCAGCAGCCAGGTGAACTACGCATGCACCAAAAAACAGCTGCCAGCAAATGGCAGCATCAGCCGCATTAAGGCCCACCTTGGCCTGTTCCAGCGGCTGTTACTGCCAGGCCGCTTAAATACACTGTACAGCAGAACCCCGATTACCTGATCCAGTTGGAACCGGGGCCAGATCAGATAACCAAAAAGCTGGAAAAACCGGAGAATGGGCAGCAAGGCATCTGTCAGCCCCACGTCAGCTGGGGCTCCCGCTGCCAGCTCCGGGTGGCTGTGGGTTCGGTTAATACCGAGAGCCAGGTACTAGAGGCTCGGTTAAATGGGGTTCGACTGTATTCTGCTTGCTTAACAGCGACCAATCCATCCCCCTGCTGCTGCAGTCAGCCAGCCTGCCAGGGGAGCACCCAGGGCATTGCAAGATCGAGGAGAACGTGCTATTTAAAGGGAAGAGGAGGGAGGGGAAAGCTTGTCTCAGAGGAACGAGGCAGAGGATGGGCTGAGAGAGCCCTGCAGAGAGAGGGCCACACCTGCTCTCCACTCAGCAACTCAGGACCTCTCCAAACTGCAGACACACTTCAGAGATGATGGAGGCAGACAAGGCTCCATTGCAGGAGGAGGGTGGGAGGGGACGATGCTCCCTAGCTGGCCAGGGCAGAGCTGAATAGGGAGCAGGGGGCACTGCAGGGAGAATGGAGGTGGGTTATTCTGAAGTACTTCGCAGAACGGGAGGGAGCCGGAACATTTGGCTCCATGTTCATTCCCACATCCCACACGCAGCCCCTGCTCCGGTTTCCGATCCAGAGTTCTGGGACAGTCGACGAGAGCCAGGCGGAAGTTCAGACCCAGGCCTGTAACTCGGTCGGAGCGATGGGAGTTCAGTCTGAGCAGAAGGTTGAGTAGCATGTGGGGAAAGGTGTTGGAGGGAGGGACGGGGACAGTGTTACTCAGGCTGGAGGAATTCCATCCTGCCACGGTGCTGGGGAGTGAACTAGCCCTTCCCCAAGAGCCTCCCAGATCACTCGTGCTGCCATCACTGGGCAAGGTGAGCGTATCACCAAGACAACGGGCAAGGCTTGTGCCCTCTTGGCGCCATGCTGCCCCCAAGCCCAGCCAGACCTCATCTTCTCCTTGAAGCTGTCGGCAGAGATCCCATGGCCTTACCCCTCCAACGCGCCAACAGGCATTGAGCCACTCATTTAAATGGACACTGCAATCCAATGGCTGTGGAGCGGCAAGCCTGGTCCTCTCTCTGGATGTTGATGGCTAGAGATTGAGTAGGCGATGTGATGTCCTTCCCCTTTACATGCACACCATTGCTGCTCCAGGGAATTAAACATTCACCACCCACAGCCCTGGAGTTAGCTGCTGTCAAAGTTTTTTTTTCCCCATTCTGTTATTGCTCCAGCTATGCTCTCCACCTCTCCTGCAAGGTGAATGCCACCAAGTAATACACTGTTCCAGTCTAAAAACTCAACGGACAAGACACGGCACATTCCATCCCTGCAGCACAGGGAGGATTTTCAGGGTCTGGGGTTATATCGCTGGCCAACAATTGCACAAGGAGATGCAAGGTGATGGCCCAGGAGGAAGAGCAGACAGGTCCCTGCAATGGAAGAGAAAATAGAACCAAGACCAACAGCCGTTGAGGAAGGTTGGAGGGAAAAGATGAGTTTTTTCTAACAGGGCTTTAGAAAACGCTGCCAGGTACCTACGTACCTCAAAGGGCTAAGACCGACCATGAAAGGACTTTCATGAGGCTGTGAACATCTCCCTGCCCTGACCCAGATGCATGACTCCACCTCACCTGGACTTCAGGAAAGCTTTGATCTGTAGCCATCTCGGCTGAAGAGTGATTTTTTCCTCCGGTTAGGATGCTATTAGGCCAGAACCACTGAGAACCAGGATTCTTCCATTGGAAAGATAATCTACTGAAGTCACCTACTGAAGTCCATAGACTTATGCCACACCTGAATTTGGCCAGCTAAGTTTATTCTGCATTTCCCATCCACCCACTCCTTTCACTCCCTCTTATGTGGGGATGGTAGAGAGCTGCAACAGATTTAATTTTCTTTAAAACAGAGAATAAAAATTATGAAGCCCGTCAGCTGAGAATCCAGCTATGGTGATATTGCAAGTGGCAACCGACACCATATTTTAAAAAATACCACTTGGGGTTTCACATGTGAGGAAAGAGACCAATGAGCAAAAAAAATTAGCTTAAATTAAATGTGTGCAGCAATTATGGTGCAGGGACCACAAGGTGCAGACTAAGCAATGCTTTTCAGAGTATTTGGAGATCAGCATTGCCAAAATGGATCAGTGGCTCAGCCTGTCCAGCACGTTGTCTCCCAACAGTGGCCGGCATCAAACGCTGCAGTGGAAAGTATTAGATTCCCCACAAGGGACAAGCCTCTTCCTGGCCTCCAGTAGTCAGCAGTTGGCCTACTCCTTGAAGCACGAGGATTTATTGCCCTTATTGTTCACCCTGTTTGATGTAATTGTGGATGTTCTCCTTACCCATGTCAGTGTCTGATCCTTTTTTGGATAGTGCTCAACTATTGGCTTCAATGATATCCTGTGGCAATGAGTTCCACAGGTTAATTAGGTGTAGGGTAGAGAACAAACTTCATAGCTCAACTCTGACCTTTACCCTCTCTGAATGGTCAGACACCACCCTGGTAGAGGGGTATTATTTCGTTTCCTATGGAGTACACATGTTAACAGCATTCAAAAGGAATTTCAGGGCTTGATTAGCATTCTCCCGGCAATAGAGCAATGGACAGGGAGCAACTGATCTTATCAGACAGGCAGCACCTGCCACACAGGGATCCAGGCCATTCCACAAGATGGAGAGCAGACACCATCTCATATGCTCAATAGCAGCCAGAGACCTGTCTTGTGTGGCCCACTGAGCCTTTGGCAACAGTGATGTCATTGCTGGGGCTAGGTTAACATCGGGAGGACACTACCTGAGACGGTGACTTAGGGATGCCAGCCCCGGGTGTTTCCAATGAGGACGGTTCCAGCTCATGGTTGACGGTCTTGATCTCGGGGCTGGTGATGGGGGACCCGTCGGGTGGAGGTGAAGGGCTTTTGTTTGCTTTCACAGTACTGTCGCTGCAGGAGAGAAAGCAAAGGAGAGTCAGAACAAGCCGCAGAATGAGTTATTCTGATCAGACAGACTGGTCCAGCCAGCCCTCTTGGTCTCAGTTCTCCGACTTCAGTGCCCACACCTGCAATCGGGGACCCTACGTCCAGTATCAGGCAGCGTGTATAAGCTTCTGAACAGCTTCTTGCCGAGTCACCCTCAATCCAATGCATCGTGCAGTAGGAACTCATGCAGATCACGATATATTAACCTATGTCACTGCCTTGCATGCGCATGGGTGCACTTAGGGAAGAGACACAGTCTATATTATATATATATATATATATAAATATATAAAGGAAACCTTAGTTCTGACGTTTCCCAACTTTTGAGCGTTTGACTTTGCAACCTCAATCGCGCCCTTTCAACAGTTTTTTTTTTTGAGCATCATCTCCTAGCTTTTTAAAAACACACACTGAAAAAAAAAACAAATTCTGTCCTGTGGCATTATGCGGACACCCACATAAGCCTCTGCCACTTGAGCTAACAAAGAAACAGACAGCAGTAGCAGGTGATCATCCTCTGTGGGGACCAGCACGAGAGGGGGACGAGACCTTTGCCAGAAGGTTTCACAGATACTTGCTGACAGCAGAAGAGGTCAGGTCTGCTGAGAGGTCAGGAGTCTTGCGCTCCATCCCAGGCTCTCAAGGGCAGTGTGTTCTAGCGGACAAAGACTCACAGAATTGTAGAAGATCAGGGTTGGAAGAGACTTCAGGTCATCTAGTCCAACCCCCTGCTCAAAGCAGGGCCAACACTGGTTCTGCTCAAAGCAGGACCAACACTCAGCTGTCCAATTCCCCAAGCTTGACCCTTTCTGCCCTGTCGCGTCCCATCTGTCCCTATCCTGGTATTGTCTGTTCCCCACCCGGCTCCCAGTCCCATTCTCCATACCGAGCCAGTCCCGCTTGCCCCTCCTCAGGCTGCTCAGGCTTGTCCCAGTCTTCTTGCCTTGCCAGTCCCAGCCTCGCCCTCCAGACTCACAGTCCCTGTTCCAGTGTCCCACCGTAACTCCCAGTCCCAGTTATTCCGCCCCCCCCGATTCCAATCCTAGTCCTTTTTGCCTTTCCCAGTCCCCCCGCTTAGCTCCTTGTCCCAGGCTCCTTGCCCATCCAGTCACAGTTTCCCCTTCCTGACTTCTCATCCTACCTGTCACTTCCCCCGCCTCAACCTCTAGTCCCTATCCTCATTGGCTCCAGGCTCAGTCTCCCCCAGGCTCCTTGTCCAATCTCAGTCTCGGCCCCCACCCACTGGCTCCCAGTTCCCCACCCCCACCATCTCCACCCTGGCTCTCAGTCCCAGTCTCCCCTCTGACTCCCAGTTTCCCTCCCCCACCCCACCATCTTCCAATTCCAGCTTTCCCTTCCTCTCAGGCGCCTTGTCCCAATCTACTCCCCCTGCATAGGCCAAACATTTCCTCCTAGCCTCTTTCTCAGAAACAGCTGAACCCTTTTCGGCTGAAATTATCAAAATCAATTCAGCTTGAGGCAGACACTTGGCGTGGAAAATTTCAACCCAAACAGTTAAAGTATGGCAATGTTATAAGCAACTGAAAACAGGGTCTTATAATGGGAAGTGTCGGGCAATCTTAGTAAGGGACAGTACTACCAGCCCCACCTATAATGAAAAAGAGAAAATGCAACGGTGTTTAAGAGGCAGCTCTTCTGTTACATAACTAAAGCCAGCAGACATGTCTTGTAGGGACAAGGCATGGTCCCTCCACTGTGGCAGGAAACACACTGAGGACAGCCACCTGGTCCATAACACAGTACTCTCTAAAACCTGGATTAGACCCAGTCTAAAACCAGATGGGACTCAGAACCTCAGTCCCCATCCCATCAGGCAACAATGCACTCCCTGTATGTCCACTTGAAACAGAAATGCACTATGGTACCCATGTTCTGGTGGTAGTCATTGGCCAACAGTGGCATGTAGATGCTCACACCCTCGGAGGATGCACTACGGTCTCATGCTTACATACAAAGTCTTGCGACAGGGTGGAGCAAGAACCAAGAGGCATTTAAATATTTCTCTCCATTCAAAGCAAGCATCAGCCTTTGAGCCCCCGATCCCACCTCGTTCCCCAACCTCACAGAGACGCCACCCAAGAAGTAGTCACTCCACGCTCTCATGCAGATTAGAGGTTTCTAATGACGTTCACATCAGCAGCATGACAACAAGATGCAAAAAACCCAACAGCTTTCTATGTCGACAGCTCTCACCCTGTGCGTGATATGGACCTGGAGAAGAAGCGGGTGCTTGTTGGGAGGAAACCAGGAATGGGTCACAAGCATGCATCCAACCCTCCTGCTCTTCAACTTGAATGGATTTGCCTACTGGGTCCTCCTCAGATGTCCCTTAAACTACTGCAGTGTGGCCGGTGCGAAGGATTGTGGGACACAGCTGAGGAGTGACTAAGTGGGGAGGTGCTAGGAGGGAAGAGGCTGAGAACTTCTGCTGTAAATCAGAGTCACAGCAACCTCAATATAAGCAGTGTGTAGCAAGCTAGTTAGTCACCTGTCAGTATCAAGTACACCACCTCCTCCCATCCTGTGATTTCTCATTTCTAGGGCACAGAGGAAGGGGCTGGCCTCACTAGGCTCCCAAGCTCCCCACCAGCTTCAGAGCGACTCGGTTAAAGCTGCATTGCTCAGGCTGACTCAGCGACTCAGTGAGAGTGCAGGGCATAGCCAGATGAGACCCAGGTTTCGAGCCTGGTCCCCAGCCTCTTGCTTCCCAAGCCGACTCCCTCCAACAGTGCCCCCTTCTGGTGATTTCGGAGTAGCACACGTAGGAAGGAAAGGATGGGATGGGCTTGCCTGGGACCAGAGCCTTGCATGGGACTGTTTAATCCTGCTCCCGTCCTGCTCTGTAATACCTGTTCCCGCCCGCCGATGCATTGTTTCTTGCATTTTTATCCCACTCCCCCAAAAACCTTAGATCCCATAAATCCTGCAAGAGAGATTCCCCCAGGCCACAAAAAAAAAAAAAAAGGTTGGTTAACACATTTATAAATGGAATTCAGGAACAACATTTACCACTAAAAGAATAAAACAAATCTCACTTAAACCATTTTGTGATTTAGTGTTTTCCTTCAAATTGCCACACTCTGGTTTTGATTACCCAGCCAATCCTGCTCACAACAAAGCACATTTTACCCACTCCCGCTGTTATGGCAGCGGGTCCTGCAGGACCCCAGTCCCGCTGCAGGGCTCTGCCTGGGACTGTCTGTGCCAGAAATATGGTAATTACAGAGGAGTGTTCCAAGAGATGTTTGGGGGAGCATATAATTCAGCTGTGAGAAGAGTTGGGGATTGATTGCACACCCCTATTCCCTACCACTGGGGGGAAATGATGCATTCTTTGGTTTGATTATAAAAAGCTTTATTGCTAGAAGGAAAACATCTATCCAGGTTCCACTCTGGGATATGTATAGAAGCTCCTTGTTCTAGGGGGCCCAAACACCCAGGGCTTCCTCCAGTCCACCAGATGTGGACAGCAAAGCCAGGGAGAATCCCGCCAGCAGGAGTACCACCCAGGGGAACAATAAACCCCCAGTCAGGCAGCCATATGGGGCCGCTTCAATCCTGCTCAGCTTCCATGAAATTCTAAATTATGGGCCAGGTGGCCTCGCGCCATTGGCATCTGGTCCTGGATTTTCCAAAAAGGAAGGAAAAACTTAAAGGAAGAGAACAGCTCTGTGTGCAGATGGGGCTCAGGGGTAGCACCGCCCTCCTTCTCCCCTCTGCTCTCATTTGTATGAGCTTTAGGCAATGCTTAATCAGCCCAGCAGTGCCAAGGCTCTCAACTGCCAGGCCCGGAGGTGCCAGGGCTCAGCCTTAGAAAGCTTTGGCACAAATTAAGCCCTGGCCTTAGGGACATACTCAGTCCTAGGATAACATTATGGGAGTTTGGCCCTGAGAGTCTCAGTCTTAGTATAAAATTAAGCAAACGATGAATCTGAGCCCCAGACTCCTCCCCTTGGGGTGCGGAGAACAAGACCCTGATATGGATTGGAGTAAAGATGCCATATCTCAGGGCCCCTCCGTGACTCTTGAAGTGGATCATTTGTCTGAAACGGACACATCTCAAAGGGCCTGGCTAATGCCCTAGCTACAGAATAGACACCACCCAGCCAGCTGTGTGCCAGCTTCCACACCCGTGTGCCTGGAGGGTCTTCAGATTCCAGTCCCGTTCACTCACTGGCATCTCTGATGACACTTCCACCAACCGTGGTACGGGCACCTGGCCCGTCAGGAACTGATGCAACCCACCAACTCATTCGCAGTCTTCAGGGGGCAGTTAATTTCAGACCCTACCAGGGATGTGAACTGGTGCCCCATAGGTGAAAGGCTCCACACATCTAGCTGCCCCTTTCTCCTTTAGGCCCATCCCATTTCCTTCCACGCCACGTGCCTTAGGTTTAGCAGGCCCCGGACCAAAGCCCTTGGTAAGTCACGGCCATTTACTGCCAGTTGAAGCTTTTTGCTGCTCCGGGAAGGAAAATGCCAAGTGCTAATTCTGTCTGCTCCTGAAACCTTTTCCAACCCCAGTGTGGTTGTTTTAACTATTCCACGGCACTGCATTCTAGGAGCCAGCTGGGATTAAAATTATTTTTTCTGACTAGTCTTGGTAGAAAGTGTCAGCAGAGTCTAAGGAACCCCCAAGCTAGGAAATGCTTCTACACAATTATGCAACTATTCTTTTCTCCGCCTTGTGCATTCAGTCCCGCTCTTAAGTCTCCCTTTACATAGGCACCCAATTTCCTACGTGTTTCCACTTTAGTTACAACATGCATGTAGCCATCAGCTACAACCACTAGGTGGTCAGACTACTCTGTGTATTGAAACAGAAGTTACAACCATGTGCTTTTTAAAAGGCAAGAGGCTTGACTCCCCGCTGCTTCTACCTGGTGCTGTGATTCGCACCTGTGCAATGTGGTAGCATTTTATAGCCACATTGCACTGATCCATGTTACTGGTGTCACAAGGGGCAAAGCATGGGGAATCCAGGTTCAGCCAGGAGAAGGGTCGTAGCAACTTATTTCCCCTTACGCGGGCAATAAATCAGAACACATTCAAAAGGAAAGCTCCATCTCGGGGAAAGGAGACCTTTTTAACCGTCAAAGTCGCGCCAGTTTAAATCAGCTTTTAAAACAAATCACACTTTTAGTTAAACCAGAGCAGCTCTGAACCCAGACAAAGCCTGACGGCTCGAACAGCTATGGAGTCTGAGTTTCAGGCCAGAACGGACCTCCTGTGTGTCACAGGCCACCAATATCTCCTAGCACCCTCCAACGAAGACCAACAACCAGAAAGGGAGCAGGGATTCAAACCAGGAATAAGAAATTATTAGGATTAGTCAGACATGCAGAAATCTCCAATGATTCCACGGGGCCAGAAACACACTGAGTCATGCAAGGAACTCCGTTCCAGTCCCCAAGTTAACACCCCCCAGGCTGTTAGAACATGGCCTTCTATTCCACTCAGACACGTCTCATAATGCTGCTCTCCATACCGATACCTGCTCATCTTCTTCTTCAGCCTGGAGAACAGTTTAGTTTTCTTTCTGGTGGGGATGGCACACAATGATTTCCATTACCGGATAGCACAGCCATGGGGGAGCAAACGTTAAGGTGCCATGCACCAATGAACCTGGTACCACAGGATGATTGTATTCAAGCCCTTTCTTCTCCTAGCATCTGGGTTTGATCTATGTGCTAGGTGGCAGAGCACAGGACAGGACTTCCTGTGCATGACAGGGACTTGCATGAGCACTGGCAGCGTTAAGAGATGTGAATTTCCCCTGGGGACCGTGGGGCAGATCTGCAGAAAGAGGCAGATGTGTAGAAAGCCAGACAGGCAGGGATCCATAAATAGTCTCATTTCACAGGTGGGCAAATGGAGGTTGGGAAGTTACAGTCCCACAGTGAGCCAGCAGAAGACCTGGGGTTAGAAGCCAGGGATCCTGACTCCCAGTTCCCCATTCTCCCCACCTGCACTAACACCAGCTTACACTGCTCCCTTCCATTTACACACTCAAAGCACACAGGAGTCACACCAAGCAGAATTCCTCATAAAGACAGCATGCTGACATAACAGGGGACCTGTCCCATCTCTCCACCCATCTAGATCCATTTCCTTTCACTCTCTCCATCTCCAGCCCCCGTCCCTGTGTATAAAAATGAGGGGGATCATCTGCTCTTATTGCAGGCCATGATCTGCAATGAGAAAGGAAAGGGGCATTTCCCCAACCCCACCGGACAAGATTCCCCAGCAAGATGCTGAGGAGCTACTTGGAGAGATGGAAATTCCCAATTGGGTTTCCTGCCATCTGCAAAAATTTATTGTCCCGACAAAAGTTTGACGCCATCCAACCCCGTCCCTAGGTACCTGTGTGGAACAGCTCTGTTACAGGATGGGTCTGGACCCTCGGTAGAGCCCAAAAGCAATGCATCAGGAGAGAGAAGGAGAATGCTTTTCTGTTTGCAAAGATCTCCATCGCTCTGGCTCAGAGCATGTGTGGAGTGGTTCAGTGGGGCAACTGGGCATGGAGGGAAAAGATGGAGCCAAGCCCATGAGTTTCTACACATTCAGGGTTTTCCATGTTTATTTTCCCTCCTAAGGGCATGAGCTCTTCCAGCCAGCCACGGTGCTCTGGGCTACAGCAGAGGGAGCTGGGCTGCCTCACATCCTACAGATGAAGCTGGAGGCTTGCCTGGGCCAGAATTGTACCGATGGAAAATTTTATTTTCTTGGAAACTTTTGTTGGGGAGGCCTCGCTGCTGGCCAGGAGTCACAAGTATTCATAAAAATAAACAAAACGTATGTTGAGTTGTCGTTACTGCATTCCACTGGGCCAAAGTTAAAGCATCAGCTGCCTCCTCATCCCTCTCTTGTGGTTTGTGCCTTCCATCTGAGCAGACTTCAGGAGAGTGTCCCAATCATTTTGATTAACCAGGACTGGATGCCATCTGGAGGGAATCAGAGCCCCATTGCTCATGAGAGGAGATCTTCCCCGTATGACCCCATCCCAGTGGACTGGCAGGATGGAGCTGGCTGCATTAGGAAAGGGACCAGGGAAGAAGAACCCTGTACTGCTGAGGTGGAACAGCAGCTGCATTGAAGTCAATAGCAAAACTCCCATGGCACTTGAAGGTGGCCAGGATTTCATCCCTGGTGTCTTTAGAACTGTAAGGATCTCACCTGCTCCCAGCTGAGAAAGATCCAGCACACCAGAAACCCATCCTCAAGGTATGGGGATGGGCTAGGGTTTTGCAAGGTCACTGGACTCTATGGCCAAGAGCAGACCCCAAACTTCTGTGCTGGCTACATCACAGATCTCGTTGTGCCTGCTGTGGAACAATGGACAGACACTCTTCTGGAAGGGAGGGGGTAGAAAAGAAGGTCTGCTACATAGCACAGGACCCATCTACCACGGGGTAGGAAATGTTCTAACACAGGAGTGCCCTATTGGGTTCATAACATCTTTTGGTAGAGGATAGAAGAGTCTGTTTCTCTTTCAGGTCCCCATGCACAATGTTGCAGTCTGGGTTGCGAAGTCTTCAGGGGGATGTCTGCTAGATGGGGAGATGGAAACCACCATCTCCATCAAAAACATTTCTACTGGTCTTAAGTTTCATGGAAGTTTGTATCAACACAGGTAAAATTTGGCCTCCTACTTAGGATAACACCTTCACCTTTAAAGTTGACGAATTGTACAAACCCACTGGTACTGGGTTTTGTGTTTGCAACAAAGGGTTAAATTGGGAGGGGAAGGAATAGGAGTCCACAGGGGTCCCCACAGCTGCTCTAACCTTTCAACAGCTGTCCTGGAGCAAGGCGCATAGGCTGAAGTTACCACTGATATCATGCTAACTCCCCCATATGCGGATTTGGCATTTATGTTGCATTACTGCTCACCCAGCATGTGGGATGAGCAGCAGCTGGAAGCCAGAGGCCCACATTGCTTCATCACTCACGCATTTGGATGGGAGCCAGATACAGCCTCAGCCACAGCCTGACCTTCCCACCACCTTAACTGGAAAGGCTTGAGATTTTTCAGTTAACCAACAGATTTGCAGTTAATCAACGAGGACCAGATTCTGCTCAGACAAAAAAGGATCCTGTGGACGCTAGCACTTTGCAGAGACTCCTGGGGCATATTAGAGGTCTGATGTTCCCTAAACGCAAAGGCCAAACTCTTGTGAGGCTCGAACGGTACCCATGAGATTTGCCCGGGCAAAACTGCCATTTGCATGCACAAAATGGGCAACTGCACACAAGAGTTTGCCAACTAGAGATTTGGGTTTGGTGACCAGAGGTGGGATGGAGAGGGGGCAGTGGATAGGGGAGATGGGACATGTTACTCTTGTTTCCGTGACTCAGAGGAGTTTTGGTCTTAGATGTGTGTCTGAGGGTGAAGCCCATGATCTGGAAGTGGAACTGTCCCTCTGTGCAGCCTGACCCGCAATGAGAAGCACTGGGTGGGTCAGTTCTGCATCTTGGGCGTGGAGTGATCTATTGAGAGCCACTAGGTGACCGCCACATAGGATGAGGAAGGAGAACTGAAATCGATAGAATGCAGATAAAAATCAATTCACTCGCCCCGTAAGAGACATTTCCACAGAGGCCTCCCACCTGCTCCTTCGACGTCTGCAGGGGAAAGCGCATCGCTCCAATGGTGACTCACCTTGGCTGTGCTTTAATGGGGAAGGCGTTGCTCGAGTACTGCTTGTCTAAGTTCATCAGGACATCGTTGAGGTTTTGGTTCAACTGTAAAAAGAAGAGAACCCTAAGAAGCAGGTGGGGAACAGGCTGGCTAGCCAAGGCAGAGACCTGCATCAGGACCATGATGCCCCAGAAGGCAGCACACTGCTGGTGAAACTGGGCCCACCTTCGTTCCGGCCCCTCCTTGGCCACCCCCTTTTAACAGAAACATAATCCGGAAGCACTAAAGTAATCCACGCATTCTTTAAAGTTCCAAACCATGAAGTGCCACCAGCACCCCCTAAGGAGCTTGTGTGTCTGATTTACCAACTACCCTGCTCAGGTCTTCTCTATTTCCTGCCTTTCTCCAACCTCCCCGATATTACCAGGGACCTCTGCATAAGCCTCGAACCTCATCCGTGTCGACACCAGAGGTTACTACTATTAAATGGCTGGGTCACAAACAAAATTACAGGCCAAAGTCACCATTTGCACTAAGATCCCACTCCATCAGTGTCAATGGTATTGCACCCTCCATGCCAGCAATTAATTTGATCCTACAGCTCTAATAAGCAGCAGATGACTTAAGGAACAAAAGGTCCTGGTTTCCTGCATGTGTCCCCAAACAACAAAAAACTGGGGAAGAGACCTGTAAAACATGACACAGGAGGAAGATTCTCTCTAAACTAGTGGTCCTCCTCCCTTTACTGCGGTCCGCCCCCCCCCCCCACCCCTCAGGAGCCAAGGCTGGGAGTGGGGACATGGCTCCAGGGGCAGGGATGCAGACAGGGGTAAGGGAGCCAAGACTGGGGGTGCAGCTAGGGGTGGGGCTGGTACCAGGAATGAAGCCCTGGCCGGAGGCCAAGGCTGGAGGGAGGCAGGGAGTGGAGCTGCGGCCGTGCCATGGTGGGTGCCATGGCCGGGCATGGGGCCAGGAAGTGGGGCCATGGCCGGGGCCGGAGCAGAGCTTGGGGCAGAGTGGGGCTAGTGGTTTGTAGCATTACTGTAGAACACTGGCATATTTTGTAAGTGTCCCTGTGAAGTATCAGCAGAACTTGATGCTAATGTTTAAATCATGCCAGCCATTTCCTCACTGTGAGTAGTTACCTCTGGGAATTTAACAACCATAATGTTGCTTGTTGCTTAGCTGCTGTATTGTTGCCCGGACTACAGATGGAGAACAAAAGTATCTGTTTTCACTTGGGTTCCCCGTCTCCTCATAAAAGATTAGCAGGATGTATAGGGAATGTATAAATCATGTGGGCAACGCACAAGCCTGGAGGACTCCGGGAGTTATTTCAAATCTGTTTAAGTTAAATGAAAACAAAAATTCTGGATGAAAGTAATTGTGTTGGCCTTGCCACTGACTACCCCTCAGACCTCTTGAGGGCCTGGCTAGGGCAGCTACAGAACAAGCATGGAGCAACTAAGCCATCTGCTCCTTGAGATACTCCTTAGGGCATTGAAGGTTTACTACAGATGGCACCTTTGCTACCAGTTTATTCATTTTAGTAAGTGAAACTCTTTACCCAAAAGTTTGAAGGTGCTGAATCAGACTGGCTTCATTCATTGCTTCTTTGACTCCAGGTGGGATCCACTGATTTTAGGGGGAATATGCCCCAATCAACAATACTCCCAGCTGAAACCTGTAAGATTCCCTGCAGCAACCGGATGGCTATTTAAATAGGGATGTTACAACTGTAAAGCCATCAGGACAAGCACTGGCTTCTTGTACAGCCCTGGGTGCATTTGCTGCACTGCACAAGTGTCTGTTAATGATAATAGCACAGCAAATGAATAAAAGGGCCAGCAACCTTACCTTGCTCATTTCTTTATGGAAGTTCTCTTCTAGGCCTGCTATACTCTGGAATGTGTTGACATAGAAACCAACACGACTGCCAAATGAAAACAGAGCAAGAGTTAGTGGATACATGTGGCTCTTCCAAGATCGGTGGACTTGATTTCCTTTGCTAACCCCTTCCCCCCCCCCACACACACAATGCATTTCACAGTTAAGCTGCTCTTTCTCACCGTCCTAACAGCAGTGTAGGTCAGGAAGTCCCCAGACAGCCCTGTGGGCTGGAGCGACTGTTTTGCTTTGCTGCCATGTGGGAGACACTAGTTACGGAATAAACCAGGCCAGTGGGGCCTGTAGGAGATGGTTGGTTCTAGCAGAAAGGGAGAAGACTTTTTGTGGCAGACCCACCCCACGCCATCCTCCAGAGTGGCACTGGCTATGGACCAACACCCCCCCATCCTCCCTTCTGGAAAAAGATGCCACAGTAAACTCTGGGGGAAAACAAGAGGGTTGAGCAGGGAAGCCCCAGAATTAGGGCAGGCTTTAGGGGCCTGGTCCCAGACACATTCACTGGGTGACTCCCAAGTCTAGTGACTTGAGTCAACCCAAGAGAAGTGCTGCCCTGCCGGCTGGGTTTTCTGCTCTGAAGAAGGGGCGCGACCCACCGTCACTTACACGTGGGGCGCGTCTCTCTGCTGACAGGGCAGAGACAGCTAGAGCTGTAGAGGGGGGCTGAGCCCTGAGAAACAGGAGCTCAGCCAGATGATGCTCTCCCAGCAATTCGTAACAGAGGACAATTAACTGGAGCAGCTTGTCACCACCCAGGTGGAGGGGCACGCACGCATACACAGCCTGGACTGCTGGGCAGTGAGGTTAGCAGGTGGCAAAGAATGACCCAACACCCCCACAATCAGGTGTTCAGTGTGGGTGCGTGGCTCAAATGGCATTGTCACCCCTCATACAGGGTGGGTCGGTGCAGCAGATCTATCCTTCTCAGGGGAGAGATGTTGACGGAAATGTTTCATCTCCGCTAGTGACCAGCGGAGAGAGGAAGTAGAGTGGGATGGTGCAGAGGAGATAGCTGTGCTCACCTATCACAGCCGGGGAAGCCTTAGGAATAAGCTACACAGCCAGAACGCTAGAGACAGACTATAAGGCCCATCAGGATTTTGCTTTCATCCCGCTGATGCCTGCTCTCCCCTCCTCCTGTCCTCCCTCTGCCCACACCAGCCTTGCCCCAGAGGACTCCATTTTAAAAATCAGAAATTGGGACACTTCTGAGAGGACTTTGCCTGCACTCGACCCTGACACTCCCCTCCCCAAACATCAGCTCTCCTTCCTCATTCATCCCCTGGCCTCCACCAGGATTTCTCCAAGCTCCCCTCGTCTCCGTGGCTGCAATCCCTGTACAGCAAACGTACAATCCACTGTTCTCCCTTCACTGCCTGCCTGTTTCCCTGTGTCCAGCCTGCCCTTTGGAGCCGAGCACCATGGGGCGGCCAGCTGGGTCCCTGCTGTGCAGCAGGGTTGGAGAGTCTGGGACTCAGACGCCAGGGAAAGGACTTGCCAGCCAGAGCCACACCTGGGGGCTCAGTGCCTAAGGGCACACTGCAAAGAAAATCCTGCAGCGCTGAGCTGGGATCAGTTGCCTCGGGCTACGGGACTGAAAATAGCAGCGTAGATGCTCCTGGCTGGGCTGCAGCCCAGGCTGAGAAATCCAGCGAAGGGTGACGGTCTCGCAGCTCAGGCGCCAGCCTGAGTGGGAACGTCCACTCTGCTGGTTTTAGCCCCGTAGCCCAAGCCCCACACACTCGAGTCAATTAACCCGGAGTCTGAAACTAACTGCTGTGGATTTTTCTTTGCAGTGTAGAAGAGCCCTAAATCCCCTTCCCCACTATGTCGCCAGCATATTGAAGCTCTCCCTAGGCAGATTTTCAAGACCCCTACTACCCATTGTACCACTTTGCCCCACTGAAACAAACATGCAAAATTAATGACCCCCCACCATGCCCTAATGTGTTATGTAATTTATGGACAGCCCCTAAAAACAACACACTGGGTGGCTACTGTGTTCCTGGAAGATCTGGGGACGGCAGGGTCTTGGAAACAGGATGGGGGTGGCTTCTGTGAATGCTAGAAGAGGCCCCATTAGCTGGGTCACACCCAGAAATCCAGGGCAGAGGGTTACCCTCAACCCAGGCCCTCCTTCACACCGATGGGGAGCTAATCACAGTAACGACCTCCCTAAGGGGCGAATGGCCTCTGGTGGCTGCCCTCAGGCACTCACCTATTCCATAGTGAAGGCAGCTCCTCCTGCAGATCGAGGTTCATCTCCTCAAACACCTTCTGAGCTTTCACCAGCTCTTCTTCCGCCTTCACAACAGAGACGGGACAAGTCAGCACCCACCCAGCTCCATGCAGCGCAAGGCATTCGTTGCTTCCCTGGCCAGTTGGAGAGACCAGGCAAGGGAGATCCCCCGCACCACACTGGTCTCGCTGAACCCCTTTAGCGGCAGCCTGGGGTAATTCTCTGCTGAGGACAAGGGGTCTAGTTCTCCTCTCACTTACCCACCTTTTCTGGTGGTGCCACTCCCCTAATGGACTGCCGAGAGGAAAGATCAGATCCCAGTGGGGGTACCTCAGCCTAGCTCCATGGACGGCAATGGTGCTAAGCCGGTTGGACACCCCACTCCAGCTTTGAACCCCCTGTGCACAGGGAGGATCGAAGACACAGGGCTCTGCCCTGCCAGAGCAAAAACTTAAATCAGCTGATGAGGAATCCTCGGTCACAGGGGAACCCTCTACAGATGCAAAGCACTGGGGGCAGGGCGGGCACGCCCAGCGGATCCCTGCCTGGCAGAGTGCCGCTGAGCAGTGGCCAGCGTAGGAGCAAGGCTGGATTGGGCTCAGCAGGGAGATGGCTCTGAGCAGCAAGGACAGGCTTTCACAGCCATGGAGCCACAGTCTGGAGACAGCAGCCAGGATGGCAGCTAAAACCGGTGCCGACGAGCCGTGGGCCACACATACCAGCCCAGGGAATCTAGACTCCTACACTGGGGTCTGATCAAGATTTTAACTCCAGCATCTAGACCAGCAGCCTGCTCTGCCCTTTGGCCCGCTGTCTGGGTGAATCCCCCTATCTCCCATTGCCAGCACCAAGGAGCCCATGACCAGGGCAAGAATTCTGGCATAATGCAGAGATACAAGACTCTCATGGCTCCTACTGCAAACAGCACAAGTCAGAACCAGGTACGTCCACCGCCCACACACCTCAAGTCAGCACCGGGCATGCCCACCACCCCCTTCACCCTCCCTCCAATGCAGCAGTGGACACACCCACCACCCCCTACTCCCCTCCCAAGTCAGCACCAGGCACGCACCCTCTCCCCTCCAATGCAGCACCGGGCACACCCACCATCTCCGTACTGCATGCCCCCACCCCGAGTCAGCACCGGGCACGCCCACCTCCCTAAACTCCCCCCCACCCCGAGTCAGCACCGGGCACGCCCACCTCCCTAAACCCCCCCCACCCCGAGTCAGCACCGGGCACACCCACCTCCCTAAACTCCCCCAAGTCAGCACCGGGCACACCCACCACCACCCTACCCCCCTCCCCCTGTGTCAGAACTAGCCATGCCCACCATTCTACACCCACCCTAAGCCAGCACCAGGCACATCCACACCCCACTCCTCCCACCGTCCCTCTTCCTCCCTTCAAGGCCCTGTACCGTGAACGTTCCAGTTTCAATGTTTCCATTCTCTGCCTCGCCCCTGCCCACGTGGTGGGGAGAGAGAACAGCGAATCCCTGGAGTAACCACCCCACAGCACAGCCTAAACAGGAAGGCCAGCACAAGCTGCTGTTTATATTAAATACAATAGCAGGAATGTCCCATGCCACAGGGCTCTCCAGCCTGTGTGCAAATCCAGCCCCCACAGGGGCCCGCTCTCTCTGCCTTCCTATTGCCACAGGAACCTTCGGAACCGGAGGCTGGCTTCCTGCCCCTTCCAAGAGACAAGGGACAGACATCGCCAGGAGAAGGAGATCTGATCTGATCTGCTCTGCAATGGGGTTAATAGAGGAAACCCGGCTTTAGGCAGCATTGGGCTCTCCGTCTCAAGGACGGGCATGCACACAAACCAGATTAATGGGGGAGCAGTCAGGAAAGGAGACATACTGGCCTGCTATGTGGCAGACCCAGGTCCGATTTCTGGTTTCCTGCTTCCCTGGCCAGGGGGAACTAGCAGAGGAAGGGCTCAGGGTCTCTCAGTCTAGCCTCCACCCAACTTTCAGAAGTCACCAGCCCTCAGCAGAAGCCTGGAGTGATGTCCTCCGTGCTCAAGGTCAGAGAACAAGGGGTTCCTGCCAGAAGAGAGACAGCTGGGTACTGGAAGAAATGCCCATCTTGGCCTGTCTGTGAAATGGTGGGTCTCTAACAGAGATATGGAGCCACTCCAAGGAAGGCACAGAGCAACAGAAGTGACACCTGTCTTTCTTGCGCACTGGCATTTAGACAAGCCCACCATTTACTGTGGGCTTGCAAAAAATGAACCCCCTCCTAAACAGAGATGCCGCTTTATGCGATGCAGGAGGGCAGAGGACAGGATCAGGAGGGTCTCTTCTGGCCTTGACATCTATCAGGGCACGAATGTTTCCGATCCATTCACTCAAAAGGAAAAACGAGTGAAGTCACCTTTTAAATGTGTCCCCTTTCATTTCCACACCAGGCTTGAACCGTAGTCAGGAGTTCAAATCCCCAGAGGCGAAGATCCCCATTAAACGCTGTTTGTTTTTCCGTAGCCCCATTGCACAATGAAGGAAATGACATGGTCCCTCCCTCAGGTTTATCCGTTCTCCAGGCCGAAGGACACAGAAAGCAATCCTGAGCGGATCTGCGAGTATTGGGACAGCCCAAAGCACAGCCACTAAAAGCCCGCAGGCAGCGTTCACTCTAGAAACGTGAGGGAAGAGGGATCCATGCAGCTCAGAGCTATGGCTCTGTTGTGGATATTCAAATCCCTTTGCTGTTCCCAGTGATAGAGCTAGATTCATTTCTCTCATGCTCTGGCCAAGCCAATGGTATATGGTCCCCGGGATCCAGCGCTATGCAGAATTTATTTTGGTTGGATACAGCAGGCCTGATTCTGTGCAGTGCTGAGCGTCTCCTCACAGCTGTCCTCAACTCCCACTGCCATCAGTTCCACTGTTATCCCCATGTTACAGGTAGGGAAGAGAGGGAACATCTACACTGCACACTACGGGCCAGACTGAGTCAGGTTTGAGCCCGAGCCCAGCTTCTGTCCACACACATCTCAGTCTGACTCGGGTCAGTAAGCACTCAGGGCCTGGATTCTAGGACCCTGATAGGGGGGTGGGTCAGAGTCCAAGTCCTGCTGAGAGGCAGGTCCAAGCCCTGTCATTTTGCAGTGTGGAAGCAGCTCAAGCTGCAGACCCGAGTCAGAAGGTCTGTGCAGTGTAGTATGGACATGTTTGCACAGCTGCGAGACCCCAGTGCAGCAATTGTAAACCCAGACTTACAATGCAGTACGGATGCTTAAGCACAGGCTTGGAAACACGGAGTCCACAAGCCCGGGTCCCGCATACCCAGGCTAATGTGCAGTGGGTAGAGAGTCCAAGGCACAGATGTTCAAAGGTATTTAGGCACCTCTCTCTCACTGAACTCCCATTTTGACTTCTGCATGCAGGCTCTGGGCCTAAGTGACTTGCCCAAGGCAACACAGGAAGCAGTGTCAGAGCAGAAAACTAAACCCAGGTCTCCCAAGTCCCAGGCTAGATTCTAACCCATAGGCCATCCTTCCTCTCTGGGGAACCAGAAGGGCACACCGCTCAGTTAGTTGGTTACTCGCTGGCTGATGGGACGGACCACCAGAAACACTGTTCTGCTGGAGCTACAGATCACCAAGGACACTGCGGCTTAGACAGAAGTCAGCGTTTCAGTGGAGCTAAGAAGCAGCAGGAATTTGCTGCTCTAAGCGGTTTCCTTTTTGTTCCAAATGGGAGAGAGTCACCAGAATGCTACAGTGTAACTCGCTTACACCCCCCAAGAGGAAACCTCTCGAGCGTTCACAAGAAACTCCCACTATTTTCTATCTGTTAAAGGCCAGGCGGGTTGGTTATTTGAAAGGTTAATTGTCAACTCATCTTTATATTAGAAATCAAAAGGGCTTGCCCAGTCTTAGTCTCCTCACAAAAACAGAGCAGACAATTAGGGAGATTGTGACGTAACACGAGACTGAACGATGACCAATTGGCAGGAGAAGGGATTTTTACTCAGGCTGTTTAAGGTTCTGGGGTTTGATAGCTTTACGCTGACTCCTTTGATTATGGGCTGAGAAACTTTCCTCTCCAGTTGTAAAAAGAAAAGGAGTACTTGTGGCACCTTAGAGACTAACCAATTTATTTGAGCATGAGCTTTCGTGAGCTACAGCTCACTTCATCAGATGTAGCTCACGAAAGCTCATGCTCAAATAAATTGGTTAGTCTCTAAGGTGCCACAAGTACTCCTTTTCTTTTTGCGAATACAGACTAACACGGCTGTTCCTCTGAAACCTCTCCAGTTGTGTAGCCTCTAAAGAAGCTTCCAGCAAATCCTCTTTTCCCTGCTATTTCTCAGCAGAAAAACAAGCCTAAAGAAACCTTTCAGGCCTTTAGACATCACCAAGAAGCAAAAAATGTGTACAATTTTTCCTCCTTTGCAATTGCCCTAAAGGTGACCTACAATCTTCTCCATTAGCCAATGCTCAGTTTATGTGGCACTCCAGCATTTTTATTGGCCAGTATCCTATCAGTACAATCAGAAATCGGCTGTGAAAGCTCCCAGGTATTTTGAAGTGTAGCCTGTCATAGGTAAGTGATTCATTCACTGATCAGGAATGTGAGGGAGCAATTGAATGAAAGCAGATGAGATCACTAGGAATGTATGAGTAGGTATGTGGGTTTCTCGGAATCAGAACAATGACTTAATGTCCTCCTCCCATTCAGAGTATTTGTTTTCATTCCTCCCTAGCACAGTCCTCCTGTCTGTCTGCTCCTACTGTAGGTCCCTGAGATTCAGATGCTCAAAAGGTACTTAGGAAATGTTTTAAATGGAAGTTAGGTGCCTACAGACCTTTGAGGATCTGGGTCTGAGTATTTCCATGAAACAGTCACCATGGAAGATCCCACCACGAAGGCAAGTTTCTCCTTCCCACTCCCCAAACAAGGAGTGGAACAAATAATCCCACTTCAATAACTATAGTTTCATTGACCTCACTTACCGAACTCCTTCCCTGTAGGATCTCAAACCTAAATAATACCTGGAAAAACCCTGCTTTCAGGCAGCCCCAGGGCCTGCAACTTGACGGTGTTCAGTCTAGTGCTGGATGTACCTCTTGCATCCCTTTCTAATCCAAACCAGACTGGACCTCTGAGGCCTTGGGAGATTCTCTCAGCACTTGTTCTATAAATGAATAGTTTCAAATCTGCATTTTTGGATCTCACCCTGGGAAAGTTTTACAACTAATTTGTACAAATGTATAAACCACTTCTGCTTTTTGCTGTGATATTTTGCATCCAGCTTTACTGAATGGCAGAAATTCACAAGGCATCTTCTTAAGGTTTCTATTTTTAACCATAAAATCTGCTTCTCATTTAGAAAAAAAGCTACTAGAGGAACTGGATGGGATCTTTTGTCCCAGCCCCATTCTATACCCCTTGCCCCAGTGTTCAGTCCAGATTAATGCATGGGCCTATGGGATCCGTGCCCAGGGACGCTGGCCAATTTGGGGACCCCTGCAGGAGCACTGAGGAGCAGCGGTTGCAGCCCCATTGAAAGGAAGGTATGGGGGAGCCCAAATGTTTTGTGCCCAGGGCCCCAATAAATCTTAATCCGCCTCTGGGCAAAGCATAATAGAGTTTTACTGGAAAAATCAACTGATCAAACCTACCCCAGATGTAACTTCACTTAAGGTCCCCGGTGTTAGAGCAGGAAGAAATCTGGCTCCTGAACAACAAGGACACACTTTATGGAGAGCCTAGAGTGAATGCTGCCTGGAAATTAAATGCACATTACGGGACTAGAGCCCAAAATAGCACATGCAGGAGTTAGAGCCAGGAAGGTAGGCAATCACCTGATTTCGGAGCAGATTAGTTTGAGCAACGAGATGAGCTTGTAGTTTTCCTTGGCACCACTGTGGCGCAGCTTTCTCAAGCAGCGAGACAGGCTGCGTGGGGGAGCGTTTTCAAAGGAAAGAGAAAACAAAAATGAGAGAGAGAGAGAGAGAGAGAGACAGACATCTGTTTAGAAAACAAAATCACAAGAGTGAGAGCACTACAGGCTGGGCCAACCCAACACCACCAAGGCAAGAGACACAGCATCCAGGGGACAATCAGTTACGAATCCTTCAAAGCATACCAAGTGTAGCGGTAATTAATGCTGCGATCTGGAGACAGAGGGCACCCGGGCTGGGAGACTGTTCACCAGCAGCCCAGCTGCAAAGAGCAACAGACAAGAACGGTTAGTGACTTAGCACAAAAATGCCACGTGTTGAGTTTCCGCCGACTGCCTTCAAGGAGGTCGGGATTAATTCAACGTCACTCTCATCCACATGCAATTATTTAAAGTCCACAGCACTCATTTTAATGGAGTGTTGTCAATTAAGCAGTAAGTGGCAGGATTCCTAAGGGGTGTATGCGCATGTGTTATAAGAAGTGAGGGGGGGGAGGAAGGATAAGTCCAAAAGAATTCATGATGCTGTTGGTGTTGTTCTAATATGAGAAAACACCAGTTAGCGCCCAGTATTTGCTCTACACTGTAACGACAACAAGACTTTGCATTTCTCCAATGCTTTTCCATAGATGTCAAAGCAGTTTACAAAGGCAGGTAAGTAGCATTATTCCTATTTACCAGACAGGGTAACTGAGGGAGAGAGGGCTGAAGGGCCAGACCAAGCCCACTGCAGTGACTGGAAAAGCCCCCGTTGACTAATTGCTTTGTCCAAGTGACCCAGAGGCAGCATCAGAAACAGAACCCTGGGTTCTGTCCTTTGGTCCACGTTGTTCATCGACCTTATCTATTAATCTGTCAACAACCAGTCATCTGTCACAGAGCGTCAGCACATGAGCAGTCTGGGGGAGACCAGTGAGCGTAGCAAAGAGAGTAGTCTAGTTTTCCCAGACTTGAAAATACCAGAGCCAGAGGCCTCAGGTTCCTATGTTCATATATGAATCACCGCTGCAAGTTTTAAAATCGCCAATTAACACCACCACCCCTAAATGAAAGATTGCACCTCCCCACCCCCAGGAAAATTCCCTTCTTACTTCTGCATGCTTAAAGAGAAAAGCCAGTGGAAAGTTCTGTTAATTGAGCCATTTGACTGGCTGACCAGCCTTATGTATTGAATGAGGGACATTGTTTTTTTCCATACCTGATGCAATGATTCTGGTTCCTAAAGTCACCTTCAATTTTGTTCCCTGGTTTTGCATATCCATAGTGCAAGCAATGATAAAGAGATGAGTAAAGACTGAGGGCTTAAAATAAAGTGCAAAAGCAGCACTCAGAAGGCAGATGAGCCATTAGGTTCCAGACATACAGAATCACGGTTAACTTTTCCAGAGCTAGTTAGAGCAACATCATCTTCCAGGACCATTGGTGTATTTTGAGATAGAAGCATTTGGTGATTGTTAATTGAACTTTTTGTGTCTCTCCCGATTCGGGAGGGGGGGGGGGGAGAAGAGAGAAAATATAGAAATGTCTCCCTCCTCTCTTCTTCCACCATCCCTAGCTCCCACCCAGCTCATCCCTCCCCTAGACTAGGATTTAAGGTGTGCTGTTAGCATGTTCTGGCTAACACCTTGGAAAAGTCTAGCATATACCAGGCAGACTTGGATGAAATCTTGTCTCCACTGAAGTCAGTGGCAAAATTCCCCATTGACATCAATGGAGGCAGAATTTCACCCACTGCCTTTAGTATGTGCTCACAGGGGGGTGCCGAGGCTAGTATTCAACCATCTTAGCATATGCTCAAGTCTATTCTGTCTTGTCCACACTAGATGTTTCAAACAGGTTAGCATCACACGTTAATTCCTAGTCACGACAAGGCCCAAGTGATCACGGAGGGCGTAGTTTCAGAAAGACTGAAGGGTATTCAGACAACCTAATTGCCAGTTTTGCTTTGGCCGTAGCACCTTCCAGTCTAAAAGAGCAAAAGCTGTTCAGGGGACGATTTATTCAGCAGGAATTAACGGAGCAGAGGCTCTGAACAGGTCACAGCCGTGCCCACGCTGAAAGTGCCAGGTAGTCCCTCCCAACAAACACTGCTATAGCACTGTTGATCAGAACACTCTGCAGACTTACTGAATTCAGGGCACAGCAGCCAACCACTTACTTATTCTCATCACCATTTTACAGATGGGGAAACTGAGGCATGCGGGTATCCAGGGTCAGAGAAGGAAATAGAATCCCCTCCTGCCTCCCAGTTCCTAGCTGGCACCGTAAGGCCATTCTTCCTCTCTCACTCAGGCTTCTATGATCACCAAAACCATGTACCCCTGAAATCTGTACCAGGTACACTGCACAGAAGATCAGCATCAGTGCACTAACACACCTTCAGAGCCTTCTCCTAAAGTTTATTTGGGGAATAAAAATAAATGGATGGGTGTGACTCTGCCAAAGAGAAAACACTCTGGCTGGATCATTGCATGACAGTTCTCTAAACAGAAAGCACCTGGGAACGATGAGTCAACATGTTAAAACTTCCTAAACAAGCTGTTATTAAAAACAATAATAAATGAAAGCAGGGCCCGCCCTTTGCTTTACCTTGGCAATTTTTGTTTCGTCTTTCTTCTTTGCGGTTTGTAGGGATTCAAAATGGTGTCTGGCGCTGTCGTAATCCACAAGCTTCCTCCCTCGCTTAGCGATCCGAGACTGAGAGAGAGAGAGAGAAACACCAGCTATGAACAGCCAGAGCCATGAAGTTTAGACCCTTGTCAGCTGAACTCCACAATTAAACCCTTCCTCAATTACACCTCATTAAGTGAGTAAAGGATTGGCCTTTCTGGGTTTGGGCTAGCTGGAACCCCCCTGTTGCTTCTGGGGTTCAGACCTCATAATAGGTCACCCCCTTCAGAAGGTCTCTGCCACTGGCAGCATTTCCCTGGCATCAGGGAAATGTCTCTCTGCAGCGCCCTTCTCCATTATCTGTGACGCACCAACAGCGGTGGACATGAAGCAAAGATGGCCTCCAACCCAGAGCCCAATCCTGTGATTGGATCTTTTAGCACAGAGCCCTCCGCCTGGACAAAGCCCTCCGTTTTGAAAGCCAAGGTTACACATTTCCTCCCGAGCGTGCAATGCTGTTTGTGAACAACTACAACCCACACTCGGTGCCGTGCAGGCCCCTTCGTGCCACACCAGTTGGAGTTCTTTGTAAATTAAACTTTCTGAGCAGCTCTGGGTGGAGCCACTGGGCTTCTCAATGAATTCAGCCACAGTAAAACCCACACACATTTCAAATGCGCAGCCCCATGATTCTGCTCTCCCACAGGATCCTGATCCAAAGCTCCTCAAGATGACTGGAAGGGCTCCCCTCGGGTTTGGATCAGGCTCTCATTCAATATCCTTCTAGAACAGCTGGGTAAAAACTTTTCTGATGGGTAAAAACAAGGATTCTAAGATGCTCCTTTGCAATAAGGAGCAGCCTGATCTTTGAGTCAATATTGAAATAACTATCAAAAAAACCAGAAAGAAAAAAGAAACCAAGCAGAGACAGGCCCAGTTTCTGTTCGAATTAGAACTATCCTAAGCTTCCAGAGCCACAGTGCTGGTTCATGCCCCTTTCTGGTCATTGCATCCTTTAGAACAGTGGTTTTCAAACCGTGGGTCGCAGCCCAGAACTGGGTCATGGTGGCTCTGGTCAGCACTGCCGACCGGGCTGTTAAAAGTCCCATCGGCAGTGCTGCCCAGCTAAGGCAGGCTAGTGCTCACCTGTTCCAACACCACACTGTGCCCCGGAAGCAGGTTTGGCTCCTAGGCAGGGGAGCCACGAGGCTGGCTACTGGCCAATGGGAACTGGGGTGGGACGGTGCCTGTGGGCAAGCGCCATGTGGAGCCGCTTGCATGCCTCCGCCTAGGAGCAGGACCTGCTGCCGGCTGCTTCCAGGATGTAGCGTGGTCCGTGGTACCAGGACAGGCGGGAAGCTTGCCTCTGCACCCCAGCTGCGCCGCGGACCGGGAGCCGCTGGAGGTAAGCCCGTGCCCCAATCCCCTGCCCCAGCCCTGAGACGCCCAAACCCAGAGCCCCTTCCTGCACCCGAAACCCCTCATCCCCAGCCCCACCTTAGAGCCTGCACCCCAAGCCCAGAGCCTTGACTCCCTCCTGCACCCCAACCCCCTGCCCCAGTCCAGAGTCCCCTTCCACTCCCTGAGTCCCTCATTCCCAGCCCCACCCTGCAGCCTGCACCCCAACTCTCTGCCCCAGCCCTGAGCCCCTCCCACACCTCAAACCCCCCATCCCCAGCTCTGTTGGGTCACGGGATCTCCTTGTGTATTCTAGAGACTCCACAAAAACGCACTCAGAAGTGTTCAATACTGGGTTACACAATATTTTATACAAGTAAACCCTAGACAGTGACCTGCACAGGAGTGGGAGGGAGAAATGGCTTTTGTGCCCTTTTTTGCTTCTTAATGATAGTTACAGAAGGCCTGAAAGGTTTTTGGTTTTTAAATCTGCTTCTTAACCATTTTAAAAAAAAAACCCACCCGTCAGGAATATCAGCTTCCCTGTTCCAACTAGGGTCTCCTTGAAAGTCCAGAGAACTGAATGGGAGCATTCACAGCCCTTAACTGAAGGACCTAGTTGTTCTTTAACTAGGAAATCTTTCCGCCCACCTGGTTTCTGTGTATTGGAGTTAAATGGCTGTTAAGACAAACAAAAGCCTTTTGACAATTTGACTAAAATTCTCCCCCATCTCAATCCATTCCTATTTCCTCAGTACTTGCAACATTGTCATCACACCAGCTCCTGCATCCCAGGAGAAGCAGAGGAATTTCTAACAGAAAAACCTCTCAGTCTGTCTTGCTAGATCCTAAGGAAGCAAACATGGCACAAATCCATTTTGTTTCGTTTTGCAGGTCACCTTGATGACGCTGTATGTTCTTATGTAAAGCTTTGCTGTGGAGTCTCACTGATGTAGAATTTGCAAAATCTTTTGTAATGGTTTTCGATCAGTCATGCAAACCAAATTTGACTCAAGCCACTGCTCAGTGCGGGTGGCAAATGGATGCATGCTGAATAGGACTTTACCAGAAAAGACAAATTGTTTTTTTAAAACCCAGACCACTGAAAGATTTTTTATTGTAAAAGAAATGACATTCTCAGTAAAAATAAATGTGCGTCTTAATATAGGCCCCAATAGGAATCGGATCTCTAGCTAATTCTAGGAAGGGATCAAGAGGTGGACAATGCTTTGATTATAGAGGGATCTAAACAACGCAGGAGGTTGTTTTAATTTCTTACTGTTTGGAGAATCATTTGGGAATAGGGTTGCCAAGGGACGTATTACTGGAGGTTTCATCCCAGGACATCATCTTTAATTAAAGATTACTCTTTAATTCCTGGAGACTCCAGGATAATCCTGAAGAAAATGTCAACCCTACTTGGGGATTGAGAAAGGAAAAAAAAAACATATCAGTAAGGCTGCAATATTTGTGGTCTGAGATTTTGAAAGGAGTGTTTGGTGCTCAAATTCAGGGGAAATTTGGGTGCATGACTCCTTTAGGAACCCCAGCCTAAAACCTTAACAGTGTTCCAGAGAAGCTAGACATGGAAAAGATTTAGCCCTAGTCTACACTACAGTTAGGTTGACCTAAGGCAACTTACGTCCCCCTAATTAGGTCAGCGTCTATACTACAGCCTTGCTCCCGCTGATGTAAGTGCCTTGCTACACCGACCTAATACCGCCACCTCTATGAGAAGCGTGGGGCTGATGTTGGTGTAATTAGGGGCAGGAGACACAGAGTGTGTAGACACTGCCTTACATGCATCAGCTGAAATTGACAAGAAAGCCAGGCAGCTAGAGAACATAAGAACAGCCATACTGGGTCAGACCAAAGGTCCATCTAGCCCAGTATCCCATCCCTTTATATACACAGAGAACATGAAACAATGGGTGTTACCATACACACTAACAAGAGTGATCAGCGAAGGTGAGCTATTACCAGCAGGGAGTGGGGTGGCGGGGGAAACCTTTTGTAGTGATAATCAAGGTGGGCCATTTTCAGCAGTTGAAGTTTATTTGTTGAAGAATTGCCACTTTTAGATCTGTAACTGAGTGACCATGTACGTTGGCCAAACTGGACAGTCTCTGCGTAAAAGAATAAATGGACACAAATCAGACGTCAAGAATTATAACATTCAAAAACCAGTCGGAGAATACTTCAATCTCTTTGGTCACTCGATTACAGACCTAAGTGGCAATTCTTCAACAAAAAAACTTCAAAAACAGACTCCAATGAGAGACTGCTGAATTGGAAGTAATTTGCAAACTAGATACAATTAACTTAGGCTTGAATAAAGACTGGGAGTGGATGGGTCATTACACAAAGTAAAGCTATTTCCCCATGTTTATCCCCTCCCTCCCTCCCCCCTTCCCCCACTCCCACTGTTCGTCAGACATTCTTGTCAACTGCTGGAAATGGCCCACCTTTCATCACTACAAAAGGTTCTCCCCCCCATCCCACCCCCACTCTCCTGCTGGTAATAGCTCACCTTACCTGATCACTCTTGTTATAGTGTGTATAGTAACACCCATTGTTTCATGTTTTGTGTATATAAATCTTCCCACTGTATTTTCCACTGAATGCATCCGATGAAGTGAGCTGTAGCTCACGAAAGCTTATGCTAAAATAAATTTGTTAGTCTCCAAGGTGCCACAAGTCCTTTTCTTTTTGCGGATACAGACTAACACGGCTGCTACTCTGAAACCTGATCCATTCCTGTCACTCATTCCCAGCTTCTGGCAAACAGAGGCTAGGAACACCATCCCTGCCCATCCTGGCTAATAGCCATTGATGGACTTATGCTCCATGAACTTATCTAGTTCTTTTTTGAACCCTGTTATAGTCTTGGCCTTCACAACATCCTCCGGCAAGGAGTTCCACAGCTTGGAAGAAGACAGCTACTTTTTCCCCCATGGTTTGACCTCTGATGTACAGTCATAGTGGAAACTATAGAAGCAAGTGTGTGGAGGGGGGTGGAGAGGGGCCCCAAGAAACAAAGACCCCCTGTGGTTGCACATGTTCACAGCTTGCATTATGATCCTGGAACCTGAAACCATTTGTTGTTTCTGGAGGGAAGTGCCACTTCAGATAGTGACAAAAGTTTAAGCTAATCAGGAAGGGGGGGGAGGGGAGGAGGGTTACTTTCCTAGGGAAGGAGCCAGCTGACACCGTCCCATATGGTGACATTGTTACAAGTGCTGCCACCTGGAAAAGCCCATTCCCTGTGCAGCTGTTTCAAAGTGAACTGGTGCTGGGGGAGGGAATGGGGCTGGGAGAGAGAGAGAGAACTCACAGGATATCATATGATCCTGCACGGTCAGCAGAGGCCCCCACCCCTCCTGAGTAGCTGGCCATGTGCAAACAGACTTTTAACCCAATACACAGATCTGCCTGCCACGCAAGCCTCATAAACTTATTGGCCACTCGCCAGCAGCACTGGCTGCTTCCTGACTGCTCTGCACTTCCAGGGGAAGGGAAAGCCAGGGCACCAACGGCCTAAACAGCGGGGGGGGGGGGGGGGGGGAAATAAATCCGGCACTTAACGGGATTCTGCCGACCTGCCAGGTAGGGGCCAAGTTTTAAAAAATGAGCCAACACACAAAAACCAGATTGGGGGGAGGAAAAGAGGCATGCAGAGCGCAGGGGGGAATGCCTCTGCGGCCCTTGCATTCCCTCTTGGTGTTTCAGTAGCTGCAGCTGGGTAGGAAAAGCCAGGGGTCCGTTTCCCACTAGAAAACGCCGGTGTGGCAGGTTGGATCCAGCTGCTCTGCGTGTACCTCATGCTGCTCTCACTTCAATGGAGAGACTCAGAACTAACGGTGTTGCCGTCCGTGGAGCCACACGAACGTAATCCTGGCTTGCCAAGAGACTCCCTCACGCACGCAGCCGGCCGCCTTGCACGCAGATACAGCCAGGTCCCAGCACGCCCTGCAGCGCTGGCCTGAACAGCACAGAGCAAAAACCAGGCTAATCCCCACGCAGACCCTACCCTCCACTGCAAAGCTGTGCACGAACTCCAAGGAGCCTGGTGGGAGAGGGGCAGGGTCTGCCGACAGCTGCTTTCTGGGCAGCGTGTTCTCTCCAACTGGCATGCGCCAAGCCAGCACAGCTCAGCTCATGAGCTGTAATGTGGCTCGGACATGGCAGAGCCAGAGGGAAGGTCGGCACTGACGGGGCCAGGGGCTCCCAAGGTGCTTCAGGGACCATTCAGGCAGATGTATGTGAGGTCACCCATGTGTTTTCTCATTCCATCCCCTGGCACGGCCTGTAGTGTCTCCTCTAGAAGGGGGAAATGCAGCAGGCTTGCTGGTGTATCAAAGCCCCTGAGTATCACAGGTAAATTTCTCCCTCCTGCACCTTTTAACGTGGGAGAGGGGAATAAGGACCATTATGTAGTTTCAGCTACTTCTCTTCAGTGCGTTAGATGTCAATGCATTAATGCCCGACGTGGCTTTCCCCTTCCACGGTCCTGGATCTGTGGTAGCAGGAAAGCATGAATGAAGCCTTGTCTGGGTGGTTTTATTCCCTTTACAAGGCTGGTAGACAATGAAACGCTATTCTAGTGATGACAGAGGGTTTCCAACTGAAACACATTCTGCTCACAGGGGGCTGATGAAAGCCCATGTATTAGAACATGCTACCACACTAGGTGAACAGACAATTCCCCAGTCTATGGCGTGGAGCCACTCTCCAGTGACAGGAAGTAAAAGAGCAGGGGAGCCAGGGAATATTTATCATGATGAGTGAAGCGTAGAGCTCCCCAGAAAGCCTGAGTGTGCAGATCTCACACCTTCCCAGGGCAGCTCCAGTTAATCCAGCTATTGCACCGATACGTAGAGGACAATCTACATGGGAGCTGATCCTGCAGCATAGAGTCATAGAAGATTGTGGTTGGAAGAGATCTCAGGAGGTCATCAAGTCCAACCCCCTCCTCAAAGCAGGACCAACACCAACTAAATCATCCCAGCCAGGGCTTTGTCAAGCCGGGCCTTAAAAACCTCTAAGGTTGGAGATTCCACCACCTCCCTAGGTAACCCATTCCAGTGCTTCACCACCCTCCTAGTGAAATAGGGGTTCTTAATATCCAACCTAGACCTCCCCCACTGCAACTTGAGACCATTGCTCCTTGTTCTGTCATCTGCCACCACTGAGAACAGCCGAGCGCCATCCTCTTTGGAATGCATCCAATAGCAGCATCCCCTTTCCTTCTCTTTCACATACCCCACACCCTGGCTGCCAGGGCAGCTATTCACTAGCCAAGAGAGCAGAGGATTGGTGTTTGGCCAACAGGGGGCAGTGTGATTTCAGTGGGGGGGGGGGTGCCTATGCCACATCCATTTCGCTACCCCCAAGCTAAAGATGGAGTCCCAAGAGACGCGCTCGTGCAAAGCCCCAGCTTCAACTCACAGCGTCCCAGAGATTCTCTAGCACAATGTGACAGGAGTGAGAGGAGCAACCTACTTTGATGTCCGGGAATTGGCCAAGGTAAGTGTCCATGGTTAGAAGCGCCTGATCCACAAGCTTCTGATGGAAATCCACCCAGAGCAGGTCATTGTTCTGAAAGACAAAAGGAACATGCTTATGAGCACGATCAGAATGCTTCACATTTCTATTGCCAGTGATCTCCAAGCACATTACAATCTGTGAAGCCTCCCAGAGGTAGTTATTGAGTCTCTTTTGGAGAAAGTGAGGCAGACATAGCCCAGATCAAGAAGAATTCTGAGCCTCAAAAGCTTCTCTCTCTCACCAACAGAAGTTGGTCCAATAAAAAGATATTATCTCACCCAGCTTGCCTTGCCAATATCCTGGGACAAACAGCCACACCACCACTGCATATCCCAGGTCACATGGTAGATGCAGAAATGGAACCCATAAGTCCTGATTCTCCTACTCCAACTGCTAGACCAGTGGTCACCAACCGGTTGATCGTGATCGACTGGTCAATCCTGGAGCCTCTGCCAGTCGATTGCGATCTCCGCTAAAAGTCCGGTGGCGCAGCGGGGCTAAGTGAGGTTCCCTGCCTGCCCAGGCCCCGTGCTGTTCCTGGAAGCGGCTGGCATTTCTCTGCAGCCCCCGGGGTGGGGGGGGGAGCGGGTCTCCACGCGCTGCCCATGCCTGCAACCCCCTCCTGCATCCAAACTTCCTCCCAGACCCCACTGCCCCAGCCCTGAGCCCACACCCAAACTCCCTCCCAGAGCCTCCCCCCCACCCCCTAGCCCAGCCACCTCCTGTACCTACACTCCCCCCCAGAGCTCATGTAGGGCTGACAGACCCCCATTGTCAATGGGCAGGATCGAATCTGGGACCTCTGGAGCTTAGTGCATGAGCCTCTACATCATGAGCTAAAAGCCAACTGCCTGTTGGCTAAGGCTGTAGCACAGACTCAATCTCTCTCTTTAAGCGGTCTCAGAGCTACTAGATGGGACAGAACACCACACCAAGAAGGTGTGTGGGTTACGCTTGCACCCCTCACCCCCTCCTGTACCCCAGGCTCAGCCCGGAGCCCCCATCTGCACTCCGAACCCCTCGGGCTCCAGCCCAGAGCCTGCATCCCCTCCTGCACCCCAACGCCCTGCCCCAGCCCGGTGAAACTGAGTAAGGGTGGGGGATAGAGGGAGCCATGGAGAGAGAGGGGATAGAGGGAGCGGGGCAGGCCTTTGGGGAAGGGGCAGGGCCTCAAGAGGCAGGGTAGATCCAGGGTTGATCTTAAATTCAAAAAGTGATCTTGTGCGTAAAAAGATTGGAGACCACTGTGCTAGACCATACTCCCCACTAGGTACCAAGACCCAGTCTGTTCGGTTTATCTACCAGCCCATGCCTTGTGTGTGCGTGCCTTCCCCCAAATCTCTCCTTTCCTTTCCTAGGACCAACTGTCCTGGGAGACAGTATGAGTAGTAATAAAGGGCTCCGAATGCCAATGCGTCCATCTGGCGTGCAGAGCTGAGAATCTCCATATTTGTGTGCATGACTCATGGCACTACAGGCTTCATCACGCTCCGGTTGAAGTCAATGGAAAAAACTCCCGCTGACTTCAATGGATCATGCCCTACATGCAGGCAGCACGTCCCATGCAACTGGAATAAAGCTGAGGAGCAGGCTGGTTTTCTCCCCAAGCCAAAAAGCTGCAGATCACCTATCCCGTGAGAGCCAGAGGAGGAAGACCAAAGGAAGAGCATTCACCACAATTCAGCTTATTTGTTACATTGCAAACTGTGCTTACACGGAATACAGTTTCAATAGAAGTTTTTTTAAAAGCCATTAAAGATCTTCATCCCCAAATCAACCTGCCCACAGCAACCACAATCATTGTATCACTACCTCCAAGGTACATGCCCCAAAACGTCCACACCTTACACCTCCCTGTGGGTCTCCTCCTGCTAGAGTGACTGCCCCTTGGCTTTAAGTAGCCGTGACCACCCCCTAACACCCATCTCTGGATGCCCCGGACAAAAAAATCTACTAGTACAGAGAAGGCCCTGCCAGGAGCTTGTGATGAAGTTATAATTAACTCATAGAACTTGGTTGGATAAACAGACCCAATAAAACCTCTGTCTCCTTGTATAGCCCCTTTATTCATAACAGTGACATTCCCCCTCTGCTTTAGCTCCACCCCACTTCATGCTGCCCTTCCCTTTCATATCCTTGACAGACTGCCCTCCAAGCCTAAAACACCCTCCTCACCCCACCCTCTCCCTCAAATCCCCGCTTGGCACACAACTCAACCACGGAGCCTGTCAGCTTTAGTCCACCCCCCGACTAGTGCCGTGACTCGCTCCTTTCAAAGCGCCACTTTTAAATGAGCGAGTGCTGTAAGGAATCCTTCTCATGCCCATTCAGCGCCAGAGCTGTTGTCTATTGTTCATCTTCTTAGATTGTAAGACTGGTGGGGCAGAGACTGTCTCTAGTTATCTAAAGGTTTTATACTGCTGCCCACCACTGGAGTATCTGAGCACCTGCCATGTACAGTCAATGGGGGACAAGCAGGATGAGGGAATTTTTTATTGGAGTAACGCCTGGTGGTGAAAGAGACAAGCCGTCAAGCTATACAGAATTCAGGTCTGGGAAAGCTCAAAAAGCTTGTCTCACCACCAGGCGTTGGTCCAATAAAAGATGTTACCTTGTCTCTCTAATATCCTGGGACCAACACGGCTACAACACTGCAAACAATGTACGATCAATAGCAATCAAAGTCCCCAGAGGGCCTCACAGAATCTCTGGCGCATCTCCCGTTTGGGGGTTAGGGTAGGGTCTTTTCTGTAGAGTGCTGAGTTCACCATCAGCAGGTAACTCGCAACAACGTTTCACAGGCAGCCGGCGTGAAGGGTTTAGAGGGTTAATATTGCATCTCGAGACAGCTGGTAACCATACAAGCGGCTGTGCGTTGCTGGAGATAATCAACTAACCTAACCCAAGCATGACTCGAAACGCTGCTTCCCCAGTGAAAGAGACCAGACATCCTGACCAGACGGGGACAAACAGTTTACCTGGGGATGGCTAATTATCCACATTTTTGCAGGGCTGAGAGAGCCAGTGCTTCCTGGTGCCGATGGGTGGATAAAGGATGCACCCAGACCCCACCCGTGACATATTTGGGCCAATGATCTCTCTGAAGCGGCTCCTGATGGCCAAAGCCATTGCTTCTTCCTAGGATCATTGCTGCTGGACAGATGTCTCGCAGCAAGGCTCCCAAGCCGAGCACAGGAGGTAAGTGCACTGGTCCCGTGAATCCGCTCTCCCCTGGGGGCCGACCTCCCGCCCCAGCATGGAGTCTCTCACCTCAACTATTTTGTTGGTATCATCTCTCCCAGGCCATTCTGGCTCATACACTTCCTGCAAGCATTCCGTCAGCTTCTTGGAGGCCTCATGCATTGCTAGGAAAGAAGAGAGGGCAGCCTCAAAATCTGAGGGACAGTGCTTCACCAGGGCACCACGAGCCCCTCCCCATTACTGGCAAGAACTCGACTGCGTGGAAGGGATAACAGGAACCTGATTCTAGTTTAAGGCAGGATATTTTCCAAGCATGATCCTTGCTAATACATCTTGGACAAGCAATAACATGGACGTGTAAAAAAAAAAAAGAAGCAGGGGGATTAAAGATCTAGTCACTCAGACAACAGGATGTTCAGTGTTCATCCTCACCTAGCAGGAGAGAGTCTCCTACAAACCTACACCAGGACCACCTGACTGCTGGGAGGAGAAACCAACCTCCGCACCCCAATGTCTCCCACCAGAGCCATCTTGCTGACTTGCCTGAACAACCCTGCCAGCCTCGGGAGCAAGAGATGTGAAACCGGCGCTCCATCACCAGGCCAGTTGCTCCAGGAAACCCTATTTGCACAGGGCAGGAAGAGCTATGGCCAGGAAAACCCCATTTGCGGTGCCAACAGTCGGAAAAGTGACAGACCTCCAGTTGAGGTCTTTACCTTTTACGGAAGCCAGGTAAGTTCGAAGATCCTTCTGCAGTTTGCTGCCTTCTGCCTACAAAGACAAGGAAAAGCCAGCTGGTTATTGTTTTGTACAGAGGGAGCTGAATTCGTGCAGGACCCATCTGTGCTATAAAAAACCACACACCATATACACCCAAAACTGCCCAATACAGCCCGACCGCTGAGGAGCTGACACAGAACTAAGAAACTGTCTATGCAGGATGGAGCAAAGTGAACCAAGAAATCAAGGCAGATGAGGCCGTCTAGCCCAATAGACCCTGATCCCCATAGGGTGTGTCTACACTGCATTCTAAGCCAGGATCTGTGGGACCTAGGCTTGTGGATTCAGTGTATCCAATTCACGCTTGATTATCTATACTGCATTGTAAACCTCTGCTTACCATGGCTGGCCGAGCCCGGATCTTACTGCTTTGCTAATATGTCCAGACCTGCTGACTCAGGTCCACACTGCAGAATTACAGGGTTTGGGCTGGAGTCACAGTGGGACTCGAGCTCTGACCCCCACACTCCTCCCAGCAGGTTCCTAGGATCTGGGTCCTGAGTGCTTGCTGACCTGAATCAGACTGATTTATTTGTGGATGGAAAGGGGGCTTGGGCTCAAACCGGAGTCAGAACCCAGGGTTAATGTGCAGTGTAGACCTACCAACAGAGGGACAGACGCTTTAGAATCACACAAAAGGAGCCCAACATGTAGGTTTGGGGGAGGTTATAAGATCTAATAAATCAAGAATACATTTCTGCTTGTATTTTTTATGTTATTGTGAGCAGTTTCAGTATGAACTTTCCCCTGGGAGATCGGAAACAGAAAACACACAAAGCGCTGCGCCCAGTGATGAGCTGCCAAAAACTTAACCACTGGTTCCTTCCTCACCCCACGAAGGGGTCGTGGCCCACCCCCGCCCCCAAGGAACTCCTACTCCATCCAACCCCTCGCGTTCCTTGATGTCTCCCCCCGGAATCCCTGCCCCATCCACCCCCCCCCCCGTTCCGACTGCCCCCAGAACCAGGCAGAAGGGTCTCGTGGGCTACCATAGTGGGTGCCCACCCTGCCCCTAAGAGCCAGAGGGACCTGCCGGGGGGAGAGGTGGGGAGTCCCGGCGGTGCTTACCTGGGGCAGCTCCCAGGAAGCATCTGGCAGGTCCCTCTGGCTCCTAGGGGTGGGGTAAACGACCACTCCCCCCACTGATCACATCAAAAAAGTGGCGCCTTAGGTACCGACTCCGTGGGTGCTCAGGGGCTGGAGCACCCACGGGAAAAGCTCCCTGCCCCGCTCCTGGCCCCAGCTCACCTCTGCTCCGCCTCTGCCCCCAATGCGCCGCCCTGCTCTGCTTCTCTGTGCCGCGGCCCCCCCGCTTCCTGCGAATCAGCTGTTTGCGTGGGAAGCCGGGGGGGGGGGAGCCTGAGAAGCAAGTGGCGGCTTCGCGCTCAGGCCCAGGGAGGCGGAGGTGAGCTGGGTCGGGGAGCGGTTCCCCTGCGCTCCCCCCCTCCAAGGTTACCTGCTACGGCACGGGCGGCCCTCCTTGTGCCCCCTGCCCACCTCTGCCTCCCTGGGCCTGAGCGTGAAGCCACCGCTTGCTTCTCAGCCCTCCCCGGCCTCCCGCGCGAACAGCTGATTCGTGGGAAGCCAGCTCGGGGCGGAGAAGCCGAGTGGGAAGGCGCGTTCGGGGGCGGAGGTGGAGCAGAGGTGAGGTGAGCTGGGGCCGGGCAGGGAGCTGCTGGTGGGTGCTCTGCACCCACCAAATTTTCCCCATGGGTGCTCCAGCCCTGGAGCACCCACGGAGTCGGCGCCTAAGGCGCCACTTGTGGCCGGTTGTTAAATTTAGAAGCGGGACAACTGGTTCTAAAAGGGCTTCTAAATTTAACAACCGGTTCCAGCGACCCACTGGCTGTGCCAATGTAGGGGCTAGACAGGGACACTGAACTGTTCCATTTCCTGTCCTAACTGGGTGAAGCTGCAGGAAGCAAACAAATAGCATGAATGGTGATAACCCCAATGTATTTTTTTTTAAAAATGTCATTCAGTGGCCCCTGCTGGATTTTGCAGATTTGGAAGCGAACAGTTAAGAAACAACAGTTATTCTGGTTTGCTTTTTGGATTTAAGAGGCAATCAGACACCATGGTGATGGATACAGTAGAAGAACCGAGATGAAAACTTCTTACATTGCAAACACCCCCCCCCACACACACACACTTTGGAAGACCTCAATACTGAATGATGCAATGTTGCTTTTTATTAAACACTTAAAATATACACTGGGCCTGACTCACCACTGCCTTGCAACGTGTCACTTACATCTGTGTAAAAGGAGGTGTAAACACATTACACCAAGTCAGAAAAGGAGTATTTTACACCCACTTTGTGCAGATGCAACCACCACCACAAAGGGGCAGGCAGCGGAGAGGTAGGCGCAAGACAGCCAACGCATGGGGGGTGACAGACAGTCTATGGATTCTGTTTTCATTTGGATTTTTGTTTCCACCCTCCGATCCTTCGCAGTGGAGCGAGCGTTGGCTCAGATGGCATCAGAAGCCTAAGGGTCTTCTAGGAGACGCAAAGGTTGAAGAAGCGTTTGAGAGAGAGACAGGTGTCCTTAGAGGAAAAAAAAACAGGTTTGGTGTCCCTATATTGAACACTTGCATTTGCTAGCTCCGGAACTCTACGAGGATGCTAGAGGGCGGCCGTTATGCTGTGCATTAGCATCACACATTCTGTTACATTTCCTTTCCCCGTCGTCCTTCCCAGCTTGAATTTTCCACATGGTGCCCTAGTATAATGCATCTTGACAGGCTGACGAGGGAGCTTGCAGGCTCTCTCTGACAGCTTCAGACTTAGTACCTTTGTGGAAGCAGCTGTTTCCTATCATCCACCACTCTTTGGGCGCCTGCCTCTTGCCCTCAGCTCGCCTTCCCTAAAACAAACAGAGCTCATGCCGATGTCTCTGGTGTTCCAAACACTGCTGTACACACTGAGCAGAGATTCCAGCAGGCCCCCTCCAGAATTCTCTCTTCCAGCAGTTGATGTGGCAAAGTTGAGCCTGTGCTAAATTCAGAGGGCTTGGGGGAAAAGGAACAGTGACCACATGTGCTGCAAGAACAGAACTGCAGGGTCTGAGGGTCCCGGAAATTGGGCTCCAGCCCAAAAGTCTACACAGCAGTGAAACAACCCCCTGCCCCCCCCCCCTCCAGCCTGAACCCTGTGAGCCCAAATTGGCTGGCACAGGCCAACCATGGGTGTCTAGTTGCTGTGAAAACATACCTGAAGGGTATGTCTACACTGTCACTGGAAGGTGTGATTGCAACAGGTACACCCATACCCGAACTTGCTTTCATCTAGCTAGATCCAAGCTAGCTCATGTAACTACAGCAGTTAAGTGTGGCAAGCTGGGCAGCAGTACAGACTAGTCACTCATGTATGTCCCAGGTGGTCGGGGCCTGCCTGCCGCAGCTTCATTACTGTTATAATTCAAGCCAGCTTTGATCTCGGGTGCAGCAGTCACACCTCTTGGTTGCAGAGTAGACATATCGAGTTACAGCCTGGCAATGCCAAGGGAAGTTGGCAGGTGAGGAAGGGAGATGGACCATCAAAGGCTGTCACACAAAAACAACCCTGAGGGTAGCATTTTTCAAATGCGGCCACCCGGAGCTTTTCCTGTGGCCACAGCCTCATGGGGTTGGACACAAAGCAGTGGCCCCCTCCCACAGGGCCACAAGCAGGAGTTGGGCCCTGCCCTCCTCTGGAGCCACAAATGCAGGAGGAGCAGACAGCCAGCGAGTTCCCCATGTTCCACGGGGAAGGGAGACTCGGGCTTCGGGCTTCAGCCCTGGGGAGGCGGGAGACAGGCCCTGCTTGTGAGGCTTCAGGCTCCAGCCCTGCACCCCGACCACAGGTGCATGCCCTCTGCTCACACACACCCCCCCGCATCACCCCTGGCCCCCGCATCCACGCTCCTACTGCCCAGACCCCCTGCTGTCTCCCTATCCACCTCCACATCCAAGGCTTAATTTTGTTCCCTGACTTGCCACAGCTGAATAAGTCTGCTTGTTAATACCACTTTTCACAGCCTCCCAGCTACCTACTAAGCCTGCTGTGAAATGACATTAACAAACAACTTTTTGCAGCCAGAGACTTACTAGAAAAGCAAAAAACAAACAAAACGACAGACAAGAATGTGCAAAACACCTTATTTCTGTTTAGGTCCAGTAAAGAATAGAGACAACTGTACATTGTTTTTATTGAGTCTGCAAAAAAAATTTTACATAAATAAATTGCAATGATTTGGACATGTATCTGTGCATGTTTATTTGCTTTTCCTAAAGTTAATTAAGTATTTTAGGAAAGATTGTCAGAGCAGCCACCAGCAAGAGTTGGTTGCCGCACTCTGAGGACCCCTGCTCCAGGACTTTCATTCTGTGGAACCAGTGATTCCAGGCTTGCGGAAGGGTTGCAGGGAAGGAGGGATCCTTGATAACCACATTTTCCAAAGTAACCTCAAATTTTGGGTGCCCCTATTTTCGCAGTGTCCAACATCAGGCCTCATGAACTAGCACACAAGGAACATCCTCCAGCTAACTCTCCTCCTGCACATATGGCGAAAGTTGGTAAACTAAAGATGGAAGCATCCAGACTTAGAAGCCACTGCTGTATTCATCTAGGTGGAATATACGGGCCCAAAGAGTCAAAACACTGTTGCTATCCAGCACTGAAACAGTGTTAAGCAAGACTCGGGGTTTGGTGTGCCGAGACCTCAGCTTGCTTAGTTCCATGGCAACCACAAGATTAAAAACTCTTTTTGACCTTGTATTAAAGATACCAAAAGGAAGGAAACAGTGAAAGCTTTTGATATGTAAAGTGTTAAGTAAGGCTTCCATTTTAACAACCTCCCTTGTTCTTTCCCTTTAGCTGTACAGTTTTTACAAAGAAAAACCCCTTTTGACAGGCTCTTTGCTGGTATTAAAGATGGCAATACCGGTCCGTCTGGGGAAACAAGAGGTTAATCAAGATGGGCTGGAGCTGTTGAAGTCTGATCCCA